AACACCAGGTGGCTAGCCCCGCCATGTACTGCTTTTCCATTCTGTCCACCAGGCTCAACACTGACAAGAGCACTCGCCTTGCCCTCCAAGGCACATGCAGGTGCAGGGCGAGGTTTTACAGAGCAGCACCCCAACTTGAAATTTTTTAATGATTTATTTTATTTTTTATTGGAAAGTCAGCTATACAGAGAGGAGAGACAGAGAGGAAGATCTTCCATCTGATGATTCACTCCCCAAGTGAGTGCAATGGTCTGAGCTGAGCTGATCCAAAGCTAGGAACCCGCAGCCTCTTCGGATCTTCCATGCGGGCACAGGGTCCTAAGGCTTTGGGTCATCCTCAACTGCTTTCCCAGGCCACAAGCAGAGAACTGGATGGAAAGTGGGGCTTCTAATCCACTTTAGCCGCTAGGCTATCATGTTGGACCCTGCAGCTTGAAATCTTGACATCCACTCCCCCATTGGCTGACACCATGGTGTGGTAAGTTAAACCTCTGCAGATGGCGCTGGCATCCCAATTGGGCACTTGTTCAAGTCCTGGCTGCTCCACTTCCCATCCAACTCCCTGATGATATGCCTGGGAAGGCAGCAGAAGATGACCCAAGTCTTGGGTCCCTGCACTCACACGGGAGATCTGGAGGAAGTTCCTGGCTCCTGGCTTCAGACTGACTGAGCTCTGGTTGTTGTGGCCATTTGGGGAGTGAACCAGTGGATGGAAGATCTTTCTCTCTGTCCCTCCTTCTCTCTGTAAATCTGACTTTCTATCTATCTATCATCTATCTATCTATCTATCTATACAGATAAGATACAGATATAGATAAATAGATTTCATTGATTTGAAAGGCAGAGTTACACAGAGAAAGAGGGATCTTCTAACCATCGGTTCACTCCCCATTTGGCCACAATGGCCAAGATAGGGCCAGTTCAGAGCCAGGAACCAGAAGCTGCTTCTGGGTACTCCACATGAGTGTAAGGGCCCAAGCATTTGAGCCATCCTCTGCTGCTTTCCCTGGTGCTTCAGCAGGAACCTGAATTGGAAGTGGAAGAGTCAGACCAGAAATTGGTACCCATATGGCACAAATGGCGACCTGATACACTGTGCCATGATGCCTGGCCTTGCCATACAGATAGCTGTGGGCTGTGGTCACCTCCTGTGCTGTCAGCTCCTTGTGTTTTGTGACCCCTCCTGAGCCTTGCCGTACCCTGCTGCCTGCCTTTAGAGGCCCTGAGACAGGAATCTCCTTCTGTGAGATTGATGTCTTTAATTTGTACATATGTGTGGGCACACATGCTGTTTTCTCATACATGCAAAAGGGCGCCCAACACATCAGGAATATAAGGAGGAATCTGGCGGTGTAGGCCCGAGAAGGCCGTGGCCTGATTTCCTAGGTGACAGCTGTCTCTGTTTTGTTTCTAGCACCCTGTAGGGGTGGGTGTACCCTGTTTTACACCTGGGCCTGTAAGGGAGCTCCCAGAGCTTCTCTGAGAGCCCTGAGAACTGGGCCTTGCCAGATTAGGGACAGCTCAGGGCATGGCAGGATGCAGGATGCCAGGGCCAGGGCTGGCTTCCCATGCTGCTGTGAGAGGGATGAGTGTTCTGGACATTTCTCATGAGCCAGATGTGGATCGGGGAGAGGTGGGTCCATCTGCAGGGTAGGGAGAAGTTGGAGTAGGCCCATGGGTGCTCACAGGTGAAGCGAGAGAGGGTGAGGGGGATTTTGGAAGGGAGTGTACTCGTGGGCTGCAGAGAAGTGGGAAGACAGGTCTTTGGGAAGCCCATAGCAGTGGTGGGGAGCACTCCCCCATATCCCGCCCTCAACTTCCTCGTCTGTGGCCAGAGGCTTCCATGGCTAGGCCAGGCTGGGTTTACCAGGGTCTGCCTGGTTTTATTTGGGACCAGGGAGAATGATCTCAACCTAGAAAAGCTGAACGGGACCAGCAGGGGGCCCACACAAGCCAGATCCTACCAGCTGTGCTGGCTGCACAGGTGTTCACCAGGTACAGTGCCATGGACTGGGCTGAGAACATAGCGGAGCTGGTGGTCCATGAGGATTGGCAAGATGATGTTACAGAGCCTGGCACGCTGAGCCTGGATCCTGAGGTAGCAGCATCTGGGAGCGATAATGTTGAGTTGACATAGTAGTCTAGGGGCCAGTGCTGTGGTGGATCAGGTGAAGCTTCTGCCTGCAGGGCCTGCATCCCATATGGAATTGGTCTGGGGCTGTCTCTGTGGCCAAGTGGGTAAAGCTGCCATCTATAATGTCAGCATCCCATGTGGGCACCAGTTCAAATCCTGGTTGCTCCACTTCAGATCTAGCTCCCTGCTAATGGCCTGGGAAGAGCAACATAGAATGGCTCGAGATCTTGGACCCCTGCATGTACGTGGGAGACCAGGGAGTAGCTCCTGGTTCTTGGCTTTGGACTGGCTCAGCTCCAGCCATTGCTGCCCATTAGGCCGCACTCTCCTCTATCTTGCTCTGCCTTTCCAATAAATAAATAAGTCTTAAAAGGGGGTCAGGTAGAGGTGCAGGTAATGCACGGAAGACTGCATCAATGGCACTTCATGGTGAGTAAAAGATTTTGTGCATCTTATCTACAGCATAAGAAGCCCACAGGATGGGAGAACATATTTGCAAGTCATACATCTGGCAAAGGACAAATAGCCAGAATGCAACTACAAAATCACAACCTGATTAAAAGTTGAAATGAGGACTTGAATCTGGTCCCAGACCCGAAGACCTGGAAGTCGGAGGCGCTGCAGGAAGTGCCCTTGGAGGAGATTGCAGAGAATCCAATGTGCGGTTTTCAACATGGGAAGATGCTCAATATCATTGAGCATCATATATATGTTTAATATATATATTATATATTTATATAATAGATACATATACACCACTGGCTTACCTCCTCCCCCACCTTGGAGATGGCCACCACAACCAGGTGAAGGCCAGGCCAGAGCCAGAAGCTTCACCTGGGTCTTCCTGTGCAGGGGCCCAAACACACAGGCCTCCCCAGACCCATTAGCAGGGCAGTGGGAATTGGAGCAGTCAGGACTTGATATGGGATGCTGCTGTCACAGGTGTTGGTTTTATGTGCTACATCACCTTCTGGCCCCTGCTCCAACGTTGGTGAACTGTGAGCACGTTATGCTAAGTGAAATAAGCCAGATGCCAGATGATCCTACTGAGCAGGTCACTTACAGGAAGTAGAATGGCGGCTCCAGTGGGGTGAGAAGCACAGCGAAATGGGCAAACTATGGGGAGTTGGAGCTTGGTTTCACAGGATGAAGAATATTCTGGTGATGGATGGTGGCAGTAGTTGCACAGCATGAAGGAATTCTATAGCCCCAAAACTGTGTATTTATGAATAGTTATAGGGTAGACCGTTCATATGGCAATTAAGATGTCCCCCAGGGCACCCAGATTTTTTTTTTTTAATCAGAATGTTTGGGTTCAAGTCCTGGCTCTACTTCTGATCCCAGCTCGCAGCTCAGGCACACCTTGGAAGGCAGCTGGCAGTGGGTAAAGCAGCTGGGTCCCTGCCACCCACACGGGAGATGTGGCCATGGTAGATGACTGGGGAGTGAACCAGTGGATGGGGGTCCCAGCAAAGCAGGAGGAAATAAGGGCCTGCCTAGAGAGGCCATTAGCAGGGCTGCTGGCCCCTGGACATACAAGACTGGGACAGAGCTAGTGTCCAGCCATGAATAGTCCTGCAGCCATGGTGGCCACTGCCATCACCCCAGACTGACCCAAGTATGTGGCCAGCCCCACTCAGTGCCCCACACAGGGGGCCTGACTCCTGGGGGCTGGTGGCTCTGCCCATGCCCCACTGCCTGGACCAGCCCCAGGCTCCCACCTTTTCCTTCCTGTCACAGTGCCTCCCCAACCCCAACACTGCCCTCCTCTCAACTTGCCCCTGTCCCCAACTTCGTCAACCCAAGAACAGAGCCCAGGTCAGGCCACAGCAGCCATTTATTGGTTTGTTTGAAAAATAATGTATTTCACGGTACACGGAGTCAGGTGAGAAGTGTGCGATTCGTGCAGACAATGGCTTGCACGGCTTGCTCCCCTCCCCTTCTTCCCACTCCTGCTGGTCACTGCAGCTCTGGGTGGGGGTGGGAAGGCAAGAAAGAAAAATGAGAACCATTCTATAAGCCAAGCAGCTGGGTGCAACTTGTCCTTGCCCTGGGCCACAGCACTGGCAGCCAGCTCTGGGCACCTGTCTGAAGGCTCCAGGCTGTCCACTTGCACAAAACCACAGTCGCCTTCTGTCCCTGCCTACATGTGCCAGGGAAGGGCGTGCCTCCCCGAGCCCGGCCAGCAAAGGGAGCGAGGAGGTCTGCCACGGCAAGGAATGTCCCCGGACGGTCAAAGCCAGGTCCAACGGAGTGCACTGGAAGGGGGCGGTGGGAGATGGAGTGATAAGAAGGACATAATACTTGACTCACCAACTACGCCCCCATCCCCTGGCACTGCCACAAACCTTGCAAACGTCCGGCCCTCGGGCAGCTTGGCGAGGTAGGTCAGGCAGTGAGATCGAGGTGGTCGCCACGAGGTGGACACAGGGGAAGAGCAGGTGGAGGGTAGCCTGGCTGCCACCTGCCCCTGTGGCCCTTGGACAGGTCCCGTTCTCCTCACTAAGGGATTTGCATATGCTCATAAGATTGTCAGCAGCCAAAGGGTTAACCGGACTGGTAAAGAGGATTTTCCCTGAAGATGCCTTCTCCCAGGTCCGTCCAGGACCTGGCCTAAGAAGGGTTGCAGGCTCCCATCCCTACGAGGCTCCTGCTTTGTCCCCTCCTGTGGCCCCGACCCAGCACAGGACCAGCTCCTGACCCCTTGCCATGCCAGTGTTTTGGGAGGCCCCCAGGACTCCCTGAGTCCACCCAGCAGAAAGGCAAGGCAGGCGGCACTTGTTTCTTCCCAGGATGGATGAGCCCAGGTGGCTCAGCTGTTGCTTTCCTTGGCCTGCTGTGTACGAGTCTGCCAAGTCTAGGGACAAGGACCAGCATGTGTCTGGCTGTGAGTGGGGGCCGTCTCGTGCCCATTAATACTCTGGTAAAGGGATAAGGCCTGGGGCCCCAACTGACCCAACATGGCTGCTCAAAAAGCCCACAGAGTAGGACCATGGGGAGAGTGCTGGCCAGGGCAGGCCCATGGCCGAGTGGGGGCGCAGGTGGCCACTGGCTGCCAGCCTGTGTCTGGTCTTCCTGTGGGGAGGAGTGTGCGGACACGTGAGTGAGTGAGGGGGCTCAGCCCTCCTGGCAGGTGAACCCTGGGCCATCCCTGGGCAGCCCCACGAGACCCCACATCTGCTCTGCACACAGAGTGTGTCTGCTCCGTGGGCGAGGAGGCAGCAGGAGGCATTAGTGCCCACAAGGGGGGAGGGGACACAAAAACAGTTAGTTCTCTGCTCCAGTAAAAAAATATCAAATATAATAAATTTATGAAAGCCCATTCACAACATGTACAGTCTAAGTTTTCTGTCTCACTTCAACAGCTGGCAGAAAGCGTGCCTCTCAGAGCCCCCCAAACTAGGTCAGGCCACTGGCACTGGTGGGGCTCCCCTGCCCCCAACTGTATAGGTCCAGCTGCCCACACCACTGGCCTCTGCTCCTGGGAGCCACCAGGCCCGCGGGCTGCCCCCTTCAGCCCCGGAACCAAAGCTTGGGAGTCTGCAGTGTGTGGGGTGATGGGGGTGGCCAGGCTCACACAACAGACTCGCGGTCCCTGTCTGGGGATGGGGGGAAGTCGGCGAGATCTTCACTGCGGCTGTAGTCTGATGCCCGCACCTGGAGGTTGTCACTGGTGGCCCTTGTGACGCTGTCGTAGGAAGGTGGCGAGGATGTGGAGGAGACGGAGGAGTCTCCGGAGGGTGGGCCAAGGTGCTGGGAGAAGTTGCTGTTTAGCACATAGGCGATGAGGCCCTCGCGTTCCGGGGCATCTTCGTCAGAGGGGCCCCCGCTGCTGGCCCGCTGCCGGAAGAGGAAGGAGGCATGCCTCACGGAGCGCTGCAGCAGGTGCCTGCGGAAGGCCCGCTGGATGACGGTGGCAGACACCTCCTCATGCTTGCGCCGCAGTGTGGTGGTGATGGGCTCGTAGGAGATCTTGGACGGGTTGGCCGCCATGAACTTCTCTTCCATCTGAATCTTCAGGGCGTCCATCTCCCCGGACTCACCCAGGACCCTCTTGGTGAAGGCAAAAAGGATGTCCATGCAGTGGATTCGGTCCCCGCTCACCATGGGCAGGTCCATGTTGATGAGGCTGATCTGGTTAGGCTTGGCAATGCGCAGTGGCTCCGACAGGGCGTCAGCGAAGTCAGACAGGGCCGAGTACTCGATGAACTGTGTGGCCTCAGGGTCGAACTTCTCCCAGATCTCATAGAACATGTCGAAGTCGTCCTCGCTCAGGGGCTCCGTGCTCTCCTCAGTGGCCACGCTGAAGTTCTCCAGGATGATGGCGATGTACATGTTGACCACGATGAGGAAAGAGATGATGATGTAAGTGGTGAAAAAGAGGATGCCCACAGCCGGGCTCCCGCAGTTGCCCCGGGAGCCGCTACTGTTGGGCAGGTTGGGGTCGCAGTAAGGGGGTCCCGTGTTGAGGATGGGGCTGAGGAGGCCATCCCAGCCGGCCGACGTGGTGATCTGGAAGAGGCACAGCATGCTGTTGGCGAAGGTCTGGAAGTTGAACATGTCGTCGATGCCGGCCTCCCACTTGACATAGGCGAAGTTGGCCATGCCGAAGATGGAGTAGATGAACATGACGAGGAAGAGCAGCAGGCCGATGTTGAAGAGGGCAGGCAGGGACATCATGAGGGCGAAGAGCAGGGTGCGGATGCCCTTGGCCCCGCGGATCAGCCTGAGGATGCGGCCGATGCGTGCCAGGCGGATCACCCGGAACAGTGTTGGGGAGAAGAAGTACTTCTGGATAATGTCCGAGAGCACGGTGCCTGCGGGGAACAACAGAGACCATGGCCGCTGGCCAGGCCACACTTGTGGGAGGGGCCCCCTGCCCACCAGCAGCCAGGGACAGGAGGCCCTTCCCCAGGGGCTGCCTGGCCATGCTGGCACCTACCTCCATCTTCCCATCTGTCCTCCTTGCTTTGGCATGCCACAACCCCTCACTCCTTTATCAGCAGGGAGCCAGGCCCAGCACCCTGACCACTGTTCACACGGCAGACTCAAAGGCCATGGTGAGGTGTAGGATGCTAACTTAGCATCCTGGCAACCCGGCTGGGACCAGAACTTGTGCCTGTGAGAAGCCAGGCTCAGTCAGCGTGTCAGGGACCAGTCAGCCTTAGCGGCGGGGGTGGGGGAGGACTCCTGGCCATTGTGTTTCTCATGAGCTCAACTGCTCAGTATGCCCAGCAAGGATAAGAAAATCTGGTCCCAGGAAGACAATGCACCTGCTTTGCTGCTCTGCTTCCAGGGCTTCCTAACTCCAGGCTGAGAGCTTCACAGGGCATGGATGCGAACTCAGGGGAGGAGACAGCCATTTGGCCCAAGTGCCTAGGTGCAGGCACCTGGCTCTGTTCTTGACTCCTGTTAGTGCCGACCCTGGGAGGTAACTGACAGCTCGTCACTGTGTCCTTGCCATTTCTGGCACCCAGCGGCTGGCACTATGTGTGCATCTGGGGAGCAAACCAGCAGATGGGGCACCCCACCCCGTCTATCCCTCTTCCTTTCTTATTCTAGAAACTATTGAACTTACAGGACAAAGAGTGACATAGACCTGCCTCTTAGGGGCCCCTGACCTCTGCAGTGTCCTCACAGAACAACCAGGTCAGGGCTGACATGTGTCCAGTGTTAACTGTCATTTCAGCGAGTCCTTGTCATCACCCTCAGTGTGAGCTAATGCTGCTGTCCTTGTTTGCTTACAGAGAACACCAAGATGCCCAGTACCCTAGCCTGGTTCTCACCCAGCAAGAGAGCAGCTGGGGTCTGACTCACACACCCAGGCTCCTGGTTGGCCTCTCTGAAGTTTCTGCTGCAGTCCACAAAGTGCCCACACCTGGCCCCTCACCGGCACCTACTGTCTCAAGTTTCTCTCCCAGTGACTCTGCCCATGTGCCTGTCACCTCAGCTGCCACAGCAGCGCCTACCTCAGTCCCCAGTGGCTCAATTCCCAGAAGACAGAAAAGTCCAGAATTAGGGTCAATCCTACAGTGGAGCCTCATGGGGCAAGAGTGTGGCTCTGGACACATGGTACCAAACTGGACTGCTCCAAAATTCAAGACTTTTGTGCTTCAAACAAAGTATGACTCAACCCAACCAAACCCAAGACTAGGAGGAAACATCTCCAAGTCATATTGGCAAGGGACTAGCATCCAGCATATACAGAGAACCTGTGCAACAGGAAGAGAAATGACCTGATTTTTAAACGAGCAAAAGATTTGAATAGACACTCTTCCAAGGGAGCTGTATCTTGACCAGCATGTGCCACTCTCAGTGGGCAGGTCACATCACACTCCCTGGGGAGCTGACAGACAAGAGCCCAGTGTCGGTAATGTGGACTGGCGTCCTACCCCATGACTGACTGCAGCAATATAGAATGGTGCAGCCATGCTGGACTCACCATTTTGGCTAAGTGGTTGCCAGTGGCTGAGAGGGGAAAGCTGGAGTTGGAGCGTGTTTGGGATTGGGAGGCAAAGATGGCAACAGTGACAGCTCCATGGATACATTAAAGACCACTGACCTGAGACTTTGAAGTGAATCTCAAGTGAACTTGTTGTGGATGTTACAGAATTTTGTATCAATTGAACTGTTTTATAAAGCAGGCTCTGCCTTAAGAGATGTGGGTAAGGATCCTGTTCCTGCTACTCCTTCGTCACTGCTGATTTTAGTAAGTAGGTGATCTGCACAAGGGTGAATGATGTCCCAAAATGTCTGGTACACACCTTGGGGGTCAGGTTCTAGAATGTTCCACATGCAGCCATGACTTCAACCCCAGTGGGCTTCCTATATCACCAGTTCCAGGGGATGTGCCTCAACCTCTCCCTCTGTTAGCCTGCAGCTCAGGCTTTCCTGCAGAACGGCAGGAAGCTGCCATGGCACTTGGGCTTTTCTCCTTCCAAGACTTGTACTTAAAGCTCCTCAAGCAGCCAGAGAGAGCTGGATTTCAGGGCCCCTGAAGGCAGGAGCCAGGAATGGAGTTGTGTGTGTGTGTGTGTGTGTGTGTGAGAAAGAGAGAGAGAGAGAGAGAGAGGGAGAGAGAGGGAGAGAGAGGGAGAGAGAGAGAGAGACAGAGAGGCAGACAAGAATGAGTGATGGGTGAGTGTTGCACTTGGCCCCATGTAGTCACCCAGAGCTGGAGGAGAGGCCAGGCCTGGGGAGCTCCCTGTGCAGAGAGCCTGCGTACCCACCCACGATGGAGAGGATGACCACCACGAAGTCGAAGATGTTCCAGCTATTGGTGAAGTAGTAGTGGCGCAGGGCAGCCATCTTGATGATGCACTCGCCCGTGAAAATGGCTACGAAGAGCAGGTTGATCTTGGCTAAGATGTTGACCTTCTCAGGGCTCTGGTCGTCTGTCTCCACCATCATGGTGACCATGTTCAGGCAGATGAGAAACATGATGGTGACGTCGAAGGCCTGCTTGGTCACGATGTCGAAAATGAAGCCCTGGTACTTGTTCTGCAGGAGGGCACAAGGGACAGGCCACCCTGAAGTCATCACCTTCACACTTTGTCTCCCGAGAGATGCCCCCTACCCTGTATGTATGTGCTTGGCACACTGCTGCTGCTGCAGGCTGAAGGCTCAAGGTCAAGTCAATATCAATCCTCATACCTGTGTTGGCCCTCAAAACGATGTAATTCCTCTGTACTCTATGGAAGTGACTTCAACCTCCTAACTACATTCAATTGTGTCTTCAGTTGTAAATCAGCCCAGCTCATTGTGGGAAGAGAGATTATAAACACACACACACACGTCTATTTTTGAAAGGTGGGCCAACTGGGCCAAGAACCAGTCTAGTAGGGGCCCAAAAGCTCCTCCAGGCCCCACCCATAGGTGACTAGACAGCATAGGTGACTAGACAGCACAGGCGCCCAGCATGGCACAATGCTGTGAAGGCTGCCCACCTGCACCCAGGAGAGATAGCAGGGGACACGCTCATGGCATCCATGTTCCCGGGGGGCATGCAGGGTCCCACACACGCCTGCATGTCACATACCCAAGAGTACCACTTGGCTGAACTGAGACACTGTGAGAAGCTCTGAAGGCTGCTGTTTGGTGTCATGGGCTTCCCAGGACCCTCAGGTTATACCCCTGCCTTCCCTCTAGGGCCCTGCCTCACCAGGGGCCGGGGGATGGGCTTCTGAGGCTTCTTGGAGCCCAGCTTCTTCATGGCATTGTAGTACTTCTTCTGCTCCTCCGTCATGAAGATGTCTTGGCCCCCTAAGTGCAGAGACAGACACAGACTCATCCTGGGGGCCCCAAAGGCCCCAGAATGAACAGTGTCTCGGGGAGAGAATTGGGTCGAGTGCTGCCTCACTTCCTCTCCGGGTGCAGAAGGAGGGTCCCTCTCCTTGCCAGAGACTTCCCCCTACACCTGTGTTTCCAGAGTCTCTGGGCCCATCTACCCTGAGCTCTCCCTGGCCACGTGATCTTGCTATCATTCTGCTCACTCACTAGGTTGTCTTGCATCCCAGGCAAGGCCCCTCTGATGGGGCAGGTGGGATGCTGGGCATTTACACAGGCTCCACCCACAACCCCAATCACACATAAATGGGTAGGCTACCCCCTCACTCCAACCTTGCTCAGGGCAGCAGGGCCCAATCCCCTTCCTTCCTCTTACAGGGTGAAGCTCTCTCCCTACTCAGTTCCAGTGGAAGCAGAAGAGGCCCCAGCCTGCCCTGTCCCACCCAGGTGGGAGCCTGCCCTCTACGTATCTTCTTCTTCTGCTGGTTGAAGTTGTCAATGATGACACCGATGAAAAGGTTCAAGGTGAAGAAAGACCCGAAGATGATGAAGACCACGAAGTAGATGTACATGTAGAGGTTGTACTCCCACTGGGGCTGCTCTTCATACTGGTGGGGATAGAGCCAATGGACAGACAGGTCACATGGTCTGTGTGCTTGGGAGCCGATGGGTATGGGCTGTGGAAAGGGCAGAGCTGGCTAGGGAGTGTCCATTCATTCAGTGGAACCTTCCTAGTGTGTGTGTGTGTGTGTGAGTGAGTGTGTGTGTGTGTGTGTGTGTGTGTATGTGCATAGACACACACGCATGCCCACATGTGCATAGCTGGGCCAGGAGAGAGGGACAGGTCGAAGGTGGCAGAGGAGAATATGGGATGTGTGTCTGGCTTCAGTCTCTGCCCCACTGGGTCCCCTCTCAGTCCGTCAGGGTGATGGGGTGGGGCACAGGGACAAAGAGAAAACTTAATCAACATTTCTCTTGCTTTCACTCACCCTCCTGGGTTAAGATCTGAGTAAGCTCTGGTGAGTTTAGTTGGCAATTCTGAACATACTGGTTGACCGTGTAGGCCTTGGCCCTAGAGTACTTCAAGGTAGCACAGCCCCAGAATAACACAGGCAAGCCTGCACCTGTTGGCCTGACTTCCAGGTGGCTGTTCGGGGGGAATGGGAGAAGAGGCCCGCATGGCACTTACCCCCCTGGAGTCTACAGCTGCATACATGATGTCCATCCAGCCCTTGAACGTTGCCTGGGGAAAGAGGACAGCATGGAGAGAACCGTTGGCCTCTGCCTCATTGCTTAAGCTGCTAAGGGCTGCTGGATGGACAGAGAGGCTGGGAAAGGGCCCCACCCCAACCCCTCACTAGTGTCCAAATGGTGGGCAGTCAAGGAACCGAAGCTGGGGAGCAGAGAAGCAGCTGGGCAGCTCTCCAAGGTAGCTACGAGGATGAGATTCTGATGTGGCCTAAGAAAGGCAGCTGCCCTTCTTATGGATAGTCTAGTCTATAACACCTCAAGGTTCCGGTGATGGGTGACATGGACAAACAGTGGCACCTGGATGCTCTGTTCCTCTTTAAGAGGGAGCCCTGAGCCCATCTGCCTACCCCCAGACCATGCACCTGGGAGAGCAGGTGCCTTTTGCCCCAGGGCCTTGTGAAAGAATTCCAACCTTCCCCATGCTTAATTTTAAGCACCTTTTGCCAATGGTGTGTTGCTAACCAGTCAACAACCGGCTTTCCAGAGGGACCACAAATCCCTTGTTCCCTGCCAATTTCTCTGGTATAAATATTCCCACAGGGCTAAATTCCCATGCACTGCTTCCTCGCACAGTGTTGGCGAGAGATGCCTAGGACCATGGCGGATACAATTCCACCTTGCAGATTCAACTGACATGAATGACTTCAAAAGTAGAGAGGTCATAAAAGGTCACGGTGAGCTTTGGGGTATGCCTCACCTACCTCTGTGTTAATATCAGTCAGTTAATTCTAAGTTCAGGGACTTTGATATTTTATAGTTGTGCAGAATTTCTGGAAATGCTAACAATCAGCTCACCAGCTGGCTCTAGCACACCACTCCCAAGGAGTAAAAAGGGGAGGTTGCAGAAGACAGGGCACTGGTGTGGGCCTCACTGTCTGCCTGCCTGGGCTGCCGGAAGAGGCAGAAAAAAGCTTTAGAGATGAGCTCAGTGGAGAAACCAGCTACCCAGTGTACTGTCCCTTGTATTCTTGGCAAAATCCTATCCCATTGTGGGCTGTGGATCATCTACTGTAGAACTGAACATCTGGGCGCTTCAAAAGAGTCTGGCCCCCAGTAGTACCCTTTTGCCTCTCCTTGGAAGCCACGCCCCTCCTGGGAAGAGGTAGTGTGCTTTGCCCTGTCTCCCTCCCCCCAACACCCCCTCAGGAGGCACATACAGCTGAGTCAGTGGGAAGGAAGTCCCTTGTCTCTGGGACTTACCACCTGCAGGAGGGCCAGGTACCCGGCTCCCACGTTGTCAAAATTGACTTTCACCTTTGTCCAGTACAACTCGCCGGTCACGTTGAAGGACTCACACTCGCTCTTGTTGTTCACGACTGTGTGGTTGAGTGGCAGGTCTCCTTCTGTCTGGTTGATGCATCTCCCAAATTTCCCCGCGAAGAGGTTCACGCCCATGATGCTGAAGATGAGCCAGAAGATGAGGCAGACGAGCAGGACGTTCATGATGGACGGGATGGCTCCCACCAGGGCATTGACCACCACCTCAAGTGGACAGAGAAGGGGGCTCAGCTCCTGCAGGTGCCAAGAGCACAGGCCCCTTCTGGGACCCCTTCACTGCTGGAACTCCCCCGCCTGAAGGTGGTTGAGGGGTGGGGAGTCCCGTGGTCATACGAGAAGCCACGTTCATGACTAGAGGCTCTGGGCACAGTGGGCAGGGAGAAAACACACAATGCTGCTTTTCATCCTGAAAGTCTCAATAATTCCATAACATTCCAGGACATACAGCTTCCCCTTCATGGCCTTGCCTTCGAGGTCTGAATTTCAACACTGTTGATTGACCATGCCAGCTACCCAATGGGACAGGATCTGCCAAAAATACATCTCCAAGACTTAAGGTCTCCTGGCTATTCCGCTAGCTCTTCCCTTCTCTGCATGATTTCTCCTTGATTTTGGGGTTGCTACCCCCAGGATGGGCGACTGTACCAGGAAATCTTGTGCCTTGAGTGTGTGATGATGGCTTCAGTGTACCAGAGCCAGACAGGGGCAAGGGTGCTCCTCAGTGAGGGGCTTTGGAGTCTACAACACTTCCTCTAAATCACCAGCACCCAGGAGGTGCCTCCCTCACAAGAGCACTCAGGGACCATGACCCTGAATGTCCTTGAGCCAGGTATGTATGTACCACGGGGCGTTGGGGGAGGGGAGGATCCGGTGTGGGCAGTGTAGCTTTCAGGTGTCCAATGAGGCACAGAGAGCCACGGAGCAGCATGGGAGACATGGCTCTCAGGGTTCCCCTGCAGGGTAAGGCTACACCCCAAGAACTTGCCACGGGCTGGATCTGTTGCAGGTGGCCACACCCCAGGCCTTCCTGGCACTTGGTAGCAGGAGGAGGGAAGTGTCTCCCTGCTCCCAAGGAGGCTTTTAACTCAATCAGGGTAATTCACTTGTGGGTGCTTTGCTTCTAGGTGACGCTGGGGTGTGGGTGAAGCTCAATGCCTGTTGGATGGGGAGCTGGGTCATCAGGACATACAGGAGTGCCTTTTGAGGCTGCACAAAGCTGCATGCCTTTTGCACAACAGCCACAACATACACACACGTTTGTTTTTGGGGTGTGTGTGCCATGGCTAAGGTTTTCCTCGGCAGGTTTCTCCCTTGGCCTCCTGTGCTTGCATTCTTCGGAGAAAAATTGATGACTTCGAGCACGCACAGGTCCATACAAGGAACATCACACAGCTGGCATTGTGCCAGCTCTGTGCTGCCAGTGTTGATGGTGTGGGGGCACTGCTTGCTCCTATCCAGCCATCTACACTGGCCCTTGCTCCGACACATGGGGGGAGCAGTCTGGGAGGCAGAGGATGTGGTTGACCAGTGGTAGCAGGAATGCAGCAGAAGCAGAAGGTCCTGGGGTGGTGGGGTTTGGGGTGGCTGATCTCTCAAAGAGGGGGGCTCTTGCAGCTCTCCACCTCTGGGGACCTCCCCTGGGGGACTTGAGACCATACTCAGTGGAGACCCCAGTCTCTTGGTCAGCAAGCTGAGTCTTGGGCAGGAGGGGTTAGTCTCTTGCCATTCCCACCTCCTACTTCCTGGTTGGGAGGTGACAGCCCCACTTACCCTCATGCCCTCAAATCGGGACAAGGCCCTCAGGGGCCGTAGTGCACGCAGAGTCCTCAGTGACTTGATGGGACCCATCTCAGCAAAGCCAAGAGTGTTGGCCACCAGGCTGATGAGCGAGACCTGCATGGGTGGGTCGGGGGCAGAGCAGAGGGGAGGACAAGGAATGGAGATGCAGAGTAGAGAAGGTGGCCAATAGCCTTGCGGAGTGCATGAGGCCAGGCTCCTGACAGCCTACTGTACTAGCCTCACCACCCACTACAGTGAGGGCACCAAGTTTCCCAGCTACCCTGCAGCCATGGTGGAGCAGAGAGGAACACTGATGCTGGGGCTCTTGGTCCCTATCAGCTGTCCTTCAAGTCACATGCTGGGGCTTGCTCAACACTCCCCAGAGGAGAGGCAGAGAACAGTGGGGAGACACACCCCCAGAGCCTGTTGCAAACCAGTATCTCTAAGAGGAGACTTTCCTCCCTCCCTGCCAGAGCATCTCCCTGTGAGATTTTATTCTAAAGCTCCATGGGCATCTACCCCCTTCCGCTGCTGCCTGTCTCTGGCCCAGGATCACAGGCAGGCAGCCTGACCCTCCCTGCACTGTCATCACCACAGCATTGGAAGCACAGAAGGAGTAGCCAGCAAAAACATTGGTGGCAGGAAGACTTTGGGTTTACCGCTGTATTAAGCACACTCACCCCTAAGGGGACTGAGCTGGGGTCCCCACTCCTGGGGAGGGGGTGCATCACATTTCAGTCCTTTTCCAAAGCCTGATCCAGATGCTCAGCTGGTCTCCCTCCCATCCTCCCAGCCAGCTGCCCTGGCTACTGTGTCCTTCACACCCCATGTCTAACCTATCAGGATTTCCTGTTGGCTCTGCCATCAAAACCCATCAGAAGCCCAGGCATTTCTCACCACACCGACTGCCGCCATCCTGGCCAGGCTGTGGTCAGCTCTCCCCCAGGGTAACTGCCAGGGCTCCTATGACTTCTTCCTGCTGGCATCTGTACTGCCCTGGTTTGGCCTTCCCGGCTGGGCAGCACCTTTAGAATCTGAGTCAGCTCTCGATGCTCTGGTGCCCAAAGCCTTCCAGTGCCTGCCCATCGTGTTCCGAGGGAGAGCCCGTGTGCTTGCAAAGATGTTGCCAGCCTTACCTGGCACAAGCCTCCTGTCTCCTTCCTTGGAGTCCCTCCAGCGAGCCAGGTGTACTTCTAGCACAGGGCCTTGGCTAAACACCTCGCTGGATGCTTGCCCGGCTGAGCCCCTCATTCAGAGTTCATCTCAGTAGGTCACTGCCTCTCCCATTCCTTCCCTCCTTATCCCCTTTGTTCAATGGCTTGTGACCCCTGCTTGAGGGATATAAACCCACAAGAAGTTTACTATCTGCAGTGCCTTCATTCCTGTGTGCACGAGTAGTGTCTGCATATAATGGACACTCAGGAATATTTACTTAAAAAAGAAAAATGCTTGTTTATTTGGAAAGCTGCTTTCCCAACTCTGAAGCTCAAAAGTACCTTTGTGAGGGTTATGGGGCTGGGAGGGGACAAGGAAGTGTGCCTGGGGTGGGAAGGCTATACCCTACTAGTGCTGGCTGCCTGGGGCCAGCCATCTCTGCTGCTGCCTCAGGCCCCAGCAATGCAGCACCCATGGGTCCCTCTCCCTGGCTGCCATACCCCAGGGTTCCCCACTGGCAGGTGATAGGGGTTTGGAGGTGGACCACCCCTGCGGGCCAGGGAGACTGCTCTCAATGAGGGGGCTGGGCTGCCAAGGGCCTCAAGGGTCCTACCCCCACCACCTTGGCACCTCTCCCCCTGCACCGGCACCCTCCTGGCCACTTGGGGTGATAGACAGAGGCCCTGGACTGGTGGTTCAAGGACCTGGGTCTGTGTGTCTCCATATATCCTTTGCAGCTTCAAGGCCTAGCCACGGGCCTCTGAGTGTCACTAAAGGAATGGCAGCCCCTGCAGGGACACAGAGCTGGGTGCCAAGCTCAGAGGCGCTGGCCAACCCTAGCACTGGCAAACCCTTCCCACCCCAGAACTTTCCGCTGTGACTCTGCCTTGCCCCAATGAGCCTAGGTTCCCTACCCCTGCCCAGACCCCATATTCACCTTCGTTGGCACCCAGCAGTGTGCCAGAGGCTTGGGCTTCCAACATCCTCTGCCAACTGAAGACACACAGCCTGAGCAAGCAGTACTCACAGCCCACGGCAGTTGTGCCAACGTGTACAGCTCCTGGCTGTCCCCACCCCAATCTCCTCCTGAAGGGCACCTCTCCTTAAGCCTGCCAGCATCCCTACACCAACCTTCTCTCCATCCATCCCTCTTGGGTGGGCATGGAAGGTGCTGGTGGGCCTGGCAGGCATGTTGCACACTTCCTTCCCTGGTTCTCATTTCTGCTCTTGGTTTATCTCCCCACAAAAATGCATGAGGATTTGGTTCTCCTGTTCCACCTGCAAATGGAGGCTTATGATGGTAAGACCTGGTCTCCTGTTGTTCCCTCCCAGAACCTTCCCCAACCTCTGTATAACAGCCGAGCATCTGCCCTGTGCGGTCACCTGCCCCCTGCTGTGAGCCCACTGGCCTGCTCCCGGCTGTGGTTGCACTCACGTCCACGATGAGGAAGTCCAGCCAGCACCAGGCGTTGGTGAAGTACTTCTTGAAGCCGTACGCCACCCACTTGAGCAGCATCTCCAGCACGAAGACATAGGTGAACATTTTGTCGGCGTACTCCAGCAAGGCCTTGATGGTCTTGCGCTCATCCAGGTAGATATCCTCGAAGGCCTGTGGTCAAGATGGGACAAGGCATACTGCAGCCTGCCTGCTGCCCACTGCAGGCTATGCGTCCTCCAGCCTGTCCCTGCTGCCCCCAGGAGGGCAGAAAACAGAGGGGAGAAATCTACCAAGGTCAATATTAGCTGAGGTCAGTGCACCTGCCAAGGTGATGCATCCCTAGTGGGCCCTACTGTAGTCTACAGTGGTCCTGGGTGACATGGCAGGTGGCACTGGGAGGATGCCTCTTCCTTCCTGCAACCCAGCAGACCCAACTCTGGGCTAGTGCACCTCTGAGACCTTCCTACAAGCTGCTAATCCCCCATCTTAACAAGGAGAGGGGGCGTGTAGGCTCTGTCCTCAGCTCTCTGTTGGAAACCACACGAAACTCTTGCTTTCCACTCCCTTTTTCACAACTTTTTACAACTATCTACTTTAACAACTATCTACTTTTCATAGCAAGTGACATTGGTTTCTAATCACTAATTTTGTATCTTAATTCTGTAATAATTAGTAGTAATTAGCAATTGAGTTTCCCTTATGATACATTTATCTGAGCAGAAAACAGTGAGAGTCAATCTATGGCAGAATTTTGAAGAAATGAGGGTGACAGTAGGGCTAGATAAGGTGATATCTCTTGCCATTCTCGGAATCTAGCAGCCCAGGGTTTCTGAAACACTGGAAGTTGCCTCTGTCAGCCTGCTTGTCTCTGAGCAAGAGCGAGACGGCACCGTTGCCAGCTGCCCTCTCCCTGTCTCTGACCTGTTCCCCCTCCCGGTGCTTCTCTCCAGCCACAGTGTATACGGCAGCTCCTCAGCCGGGCATCACCTCACACTCTGAGCCCTCTGCATCTCCCTGCCTGATCTGAAAGCCTCCAGGAACTTCACTACCCAGGGATGCCCTGCTGGAGGGATGCACGTGGCCTTGTGCATGGCCTGCTGGGTCAGTGTGGGCAAAGGGACCCAATGTGGACTTTTGTTCAAGATAATAAGCAGGTATATATTTTCTCTGATTGTAACAATAGATGCCTCCTATTACAAAAATGAAATGATGGAAATTATAGTGAAGAACAAAGCCCAAGGCACCCCGGGTTCATGACACTAAACTAAGCACCGCTAACCAGCAGGTGACCGCTACATCTGCTGTGTGCACACCCACTCTTCATGACTTTACAAGATGCAGCCTACTTTGAAATTTTTTCCCACTGAACAGTGTGAATATACAGTCTTACCTATGTTTTCCAGGCTGCATACAAGTTGCATACATTTCTGGCACTGGGGCAAAGGCATGCTTTTGGGAGGGGCTGGGAATGGATCCCCAGAGAACACTGGCTTATACTCCAGCCCTATGGCTCCGCCAACACAAGCTGTCTCTCATTCTCACTCTTCCAAATGAGCAAAAATTGGGATTCCCTACATTTTAACTTTTTGTTGTTGTTGTTTTTTTACTAGTGGTGCTGGCATCTTTTCCTGAAATGTGTGCAGCATTTCTTTGGTGAAAGACTTGTTCATAACCATTGCTTGTTTTTCTTCTTGAGCATCTGGTCCATTGCGGAACTTCAGCTCTAAGTTTGTTGTTGTACCTTTAAATCTTTTTGAACAGAATGGAAACTTTACACTTTATTTGCATTTATTACTGTCACTTACCAATATTATTTCTCATATTACTTTCATTCAGTAAAATCTTTAGTATTATGTTAAGACAGACTAGAAAAAAAAAACCATCTTTTTTCCCCCCACTAAACTGTGTCATGTCATTGGTTTGCATATGATTTTATTTTTAAGCTTTATTTATATAGGTAAAAGCAGAGGAAAGAAGGAGGCAGTGAGCTCTTATTCACTGGTTCATTCCCTAAATAGCTACACTGGCTCAGCCTGGACCAGAGCCAGAGACAGGAGTGGCAAAGAGTTGAAACTCAATCCAGATGTCCCAGAAGGGAGAAGCCACGGCCTTGAGTCATTCTGACTGCCCACCCAGCGTGTTGGTAGCAGGAAGCTGGAGTCAGGCGCTCAAGCCGGGAATGGAGCTCAGGGCTCCAAGACAGCAGGATATGGGAGTTGCAGTTAACTGCTAGGTTAAACGGTTACTTCATATAGTACAGTAAGAAAATAAACATCTAATACATTTTGATAAGGAGTGAAGCATAGCTTTTTTAAAAAAACATATACACATTTTATTATTATAGATGATGTTTACATAGCCCAAGTAGAGCTTTTTAATGTTTTCCGAGTAGCTGTCTATCTGTCCCACTAAATTAAGAATCCATTTTCTGCGTGGCATGGTGGCTTAGCAAGCAAGCCCTTTGCCTGCAGCACTGGCATCATATACGAGCACTGCTTTGAGTTCTGGCTGCTCCACTTCTGATCCAGCTCCCTGCTAGATTGGGAAATTAGTGAAAAGAAAGATGGTTCAAGTGCTTAGGGCCCTGCAGCCATGTGGGAGACTCGGAAGAAACTTCTAGCTTCTGGTTTCTGATCAGCTCAACTTTGGCCATTGTGGCCATACGCTGAGTGAGGCAGCAGATGACAGTTCTTTTTCTCTCTTTGTAAAATCTGCCTCTTAAATAAAAATAAATCTTAAAGGATCGACTTCACCGACTAAAAGTCAACTTCATCATATACTGCAATTCTGTTTACTTCACTCTGTTCAGATCTCTCTGTGGTCGAGATCCTAACCATCGCTGTCCCACCTGAACTTGCATCACGGTGGCTTTCTCTTGAACACTAACTTTGAAGATAAACTCTACATTGTCTTGCTAATTTCCCTGAAAAATGTTGGAGGGCACAGCATGATGGCTCAATGGCTAAATACTTTTCAAGTGTCTGCATCCATATGGGTGCTGGTTAGTGTTCTGATGGTTTCCCTTCCCATCCAGCTCCCTGCCAGTGGCCTGGGAAAGCAGTGGAGATGACCCAAGGCCTTGGGACTCTGCATCTGCATGGGAGACCTGGAAGAAACTCTTGGCTCCCAGCTTTGGATCAGCTCAGCTCCAGCAACTGTGGTCATTTGGGGAGTGAACCAGCAGATGGAAGATCTTTCTGTCTCTTCTTTCCATAAATCTGATCTGCCTTTCCAATAAGAATAAATCTTAAAAAAAAAAAAACTCAAAGAAACAAACAAAAAAAGAAATTAAATTCTCTTTTGTTTAAAAAAAGTATCTTACTAAGGTTTGCTTATTAACCTTTAAAGAAATATTGATATTGCATTGACTAATATAGTCCTTAAAATGATTTATTTTTATTTGAAAGGCAGAAAGATGTGAGAAGGGAAGAGAGAAACATCTTCTGTTTGTTGTTTCACTCCCTGAACACTCACAACAGCCAGGACTGGGCTGGGCTGAAGTCAGGGGCCTGGAACCCAGCACCTGCAGCCCGCAAGATCCAGCAGGAAGCTGGATCGGAAGAACAGTAGCTGGGTTTAAGCCAACACTTTCCCATGAACGCACTGCACCGAATGCCAAATACGTAAGTGGTCAGTCTACTGTCTGCCCGAGAGAATAATTTATTTGTGTTCATTTACCCTAAGAACATTTTTATCACTTCCACATTTATACACTTGCACACTTCTTACAAAATTTATTCATAGTTTATGCATTAAGGGCCTGGAAGTTGAAGAGTATTCAATAAATATTATTTGAAACTGAACAGTTGGTGCTAGTATTAAACCATAACAGCTAAAATTCTTTATATTTTTATTTTATGCTAGACCATATGTTTTTTTTTAATTAGGCTTTAACTTTTTTTCTAGCTTATTACATTACCTGCAGACAATGATATATTTTTACTATTTTAAACTGCTTTTAATATTCAACTAATTTTATTGACTGTAATTCTTCGGTTAGCCCACCTTTATATCATGAATTAATTTTCTTAATAAATTACACTGGCAGGTGCTTCAAGACTAGTGTTAAATAATGAGCAACAACAAATGATTCTTATCACTATATTTAATGAAAATGTTTCAAATTTACTACTTATGAGAATGAGAGAATTTGAGAATAAATCCTTCACTAAAATAAAGAAAGGTAATGAGGCCAGCATCCTATAACAGGTTCGGGCCACGCTGTTCATGCCCAAAGTTCTTGGGCCCCTATACCCATATGGGAGACCTGGAAGATGCTTCTGGCTCCTAGTTTCACATCAGCACAGCTCTGACTGCTATAACCATTTGGGGAGTGAACCGCTGACAGAAGACCTCTCTTTCTCTTTTGCCTTGCCATTTCTCTGTAACTCTGCTTTTTCAAATTAAAAAAAAAAATCCTAAAAAAATAAAAAGAAAATATTTTATTTCTATCTTTTTTTTTTTTCAACCAGAATTTCAACAGCCTGGCATTCACCGAGGTGACTGTATGGGCATTTACATTTGTATAATAGGTTTCTTAATTGGGCACCATTCTGACAGCTTAGAGCATCTAATTAGGACATTTAATCTTTGAAATTAAATGTATTTTACTTGTGACTTGTTTGCATCACTGTTCTTAAAAATGGCCTATGTTTTTTTCCTTTTAGCATCCTTGAGTTTTAAAAACTCAGTATTTAAAAAAAATTATTTATTTGAAAGGCAGAATTACAGGGAGTGAAGAAGGAGGAGAGAGAGAAATGGAGAGAGACACACACAGAGAAAGAATCTTCTATTTGCTTGTTCACTCTGCAAGTGGCAGCAAGGGCAGGAGCGGGGCCAGGCCTCAGCCAGGGCCTAGCTGCCCCATCCTTCCTTGCTTCCCCCGGTGCATTAGTAAGTTGCTGAATCACAAGTGGAGCAGCCAGGGCTCGAACCAAGTGTTACCTTTACCCAGTAAGCCAAAGTGCCAGCTCAGAGAAATATTTTCTTTTTGGGACTGGAAAAGAATCAATCCTTAGAGATATGAGATTAGATTAACTAGTAGTTTATCTGTTTCTTGCTTTAAAATGTCAAGAATTCAGTTCTGGAATATTATATCACTTTTATAAGTTCTATAAGTTTTACATATTCTCTAATTCATTAATTTGTGCATTTTACAAATCACTTTTTTTTTTGGTTTTCCTTAAGGCATTTAGTCATTTTATAATGTCTATGGTTAAAAATTTATTTGTGTCTTGGGCCCGGCGCAGTGGCACAAGTGGTTAAGGTCCTCGCCTTGCACGCCCGGGATCCCATATGGGCGCCGGTTCTAATCCCGGCAGCCCCACTTCCCTTCCAGCTCCCTGCTTGTGGCCTGGGAGGGCAGTGGAGGACGGCCCAAAGCTTTGGGACCCTGCACCCGTGTGGGAGACCCGGAAGAGGCTCCTGGCTTTGGATCGGCATAGCATCGGCCGTTGCACTCACTTGGGGAGTGAATCATTGGATGGAAGACCTTCCTCTCTGTCTCTCCTCTCTGTATATCTGCCTTTCCAATAAAAAAATAATAAAAATAAATCTTTAAAAAAATTTATTTACCTTCTATTTAATAAGTCTATTAATTTTCCCTTTATTATATCTTTGGCTGCATCATACATGCAATACTCCTAGCATTGCTACATTTCAGTTTCCTCCCAATCCAGTCAATTTTTTTTCCTCTACTTCTATTGTTATTTTTCTAGATAAAGGGTGGAAAGAATTAGCTGAATAATAATTTGATCTGCAGTACACTATCATCGTTTACCCACAAATGGTTCCCCTTAGTCACTGAACGTTCAAAAATCTACTGCAAAACTATTTTGTTTGATTCATGAATTTTACACTTAAAATTTTTAGTCTTCATCTATCTTAGGCATTTCTAGCAATCTCCTTATGTGTACGGTTGTCTTATCTGTAAGACTGGTTACTTTTCATAACAATTACTGTGATAATTAAGCAAATGAAGTCTTGTAAAGTGTTTAGAACAGTGTCTGGCAGGGCCCGGCATGATAGCCCGGCGGCTAAAGTCCTTGCCTTGCATGCTCCAGGATGCCAGGCTGCCCTGCTTCCCATCCAGCTCCCTGCTTGTGGCCTGGGAAGCAGTTGAGGATGGCCCAAAGCCTTGGGACCCTCACCCATGTGGGAGACCTGGAGGAAGTTCCTGGCTCCTGGCTTCTGATAAGTTCAGCTTTGGCCTTTGTGACCACTTGGAGAGTGAATCAGTAGATGGAAGATATTCCTGGTTCTCCTCCTCTCTGACTTTCCAATAAAAATAAATTAATTAATGAAAAAAAAAGTGTCTGGGACATAGTGCTGTGTAACAGTGAGTTATTGTTTTTGTTGTTCTAGATTAGGTTTAGTAAGCCTCTCTCACTGTCCTGTTGGAACAGTGGTGTGAAATGTCTCTCATGGACTCCAGTCACCCTCCCCATGTCCCCACTTACGCTGGCTTTGCCTGTATGTTTCAGGGCTGGCAAGCCCACAAAGTATGCACTGCAATTATATTCTTGCTGTGGGTTGGATCTTTGTCTTACCTGAATCTTTTTACCTTGAGTTTGACCTTTTGAAATGCTAGGGAAAAACACTCCCTTTCTGTGATCATTTGTTTGTGCCTGCCTGATATGGCTTTTGATAATTCTGAGTCATTTTGCTTCAGGTCTCTCATTTGGGAATACAATAGAGCTAAAGTGACTTTTAAAAAATAAAACCCATTCGGAGTCCTTTTCTTTTAAAGGGTGAATTTAATCCAGCTACATTTATTATTAAAGCACGTTTGGCCTTGTCTCTTCTACATTACTCTGTTTTCCAATTTTATGATTCCTTCCTTCTTCTTTTTTTTTAAATCTTTGGCAGTAGAATCTCTATTTTCTTTAAAATTTCTTTTCCCCTCAGCAGTTTGAAAGGGGTCTGGTTTGCTTTCTGTTAAACAAGTTTAACACTCAGACTTCTTTTCCTCCATCACTTGACAACCACATGGTGGTTTCAACAGCAGTGCTTGGCAGTCTACCCTGAGAAGTGCCAGCCTGCTCATGTATGCTAGGCTGAAATCTCTCCCTCAGTCCTGGCCACATGGCTTAACCACCCCTGTAGGTGATTGTTTCAAAACAAAGCATATTAACATTGTTAAATTGTGCTTGATGCCTCTGGAACGATAGCTGACAGTTGCAATTGCCAGCTCCAGGTGCTACTCAATGCTTCCATTCCTTGCGCTTCTCCATCCTTCATCCCTGCTCACCAGAACTTTCTAGAACCCTCTCTAGGGCTGTCCTATCTCCCCCTGGAGGCCAGATGGGGTTTCTCTAGAGGCTGCTCCTCCTGGAATCTATAAACCTCCCTATCTCCCACAGCTAGTCTACAAGCTTCCTCCAGGTCCCCTGACCTTCCGTCACCTGCAGTTCTGTATCATTAGTGCTTAATTCTCTCTTGCGCTCATCTTTTGACTATTGCAAACCAACCTCACTGGTTTCTCCAGCTGGTCAGTACTAGGGCTGATTTTCCTGTTGCTCTCCTACAGCTCACAAGGCAGTGTTATAAATATTCCCGGAGCCAATGGAAGGTGGAGACAAGGGGTCCTGGGATCTGACTGCCAAGGTTCGAATGCCAGACCTACTACTTCTGAGAGGCGGGAGCTCAGGCAAGTCACTCCACGTCTGCACAGAGGGCTGTGGGGGGGACTCAAGCTGAGAAAGAGCAGACCTCACAGGGCAGCCCATACGAGCTGGGGCTAACCGGAGGCAGCTCTGTCCCAGCAGACAGCTGTGGTGTCAGGAGCTGCTCGTTTCCCTTGGGACAAGGTGCTAGATATAAGGCTCAGCGAGCTGCTCCCTGCTGAAGGCAGAGCCCGTGAGCTGATTCTTGCTGTGGGCAGAGTCCCTGGCATGGATTCTGGCTCTGCTTCCCCTGCTTATCATCTCCACACCCCATCCCCTGGGAAGGGTACCAGTGCTCCACTGCTGAGCAGGATCATGAAGATGATGAAGGTCTCGAACCAGCTGTGCTCCACGATGCGGTAGCAGGTCTTGCGCAGCCGCCACCACACCTTTCCTGGGCCCTGTGTGATGTCCACCGCGCAGCAGGGACAGCGCCGGACACAGCCTGTGGGAGACAGGGGAGGTCAGACCCAGCCAAGGCCTCTGATTCCCTCCATGTGCTGGCCTGAAGGTTGGATGGTGAGGGAAGGAGTGGGGTCCCATTGAGAATGGGCTGTGGATGTTGCCCAGGCAGGGGGAAGGCATGCACTCAGTGGCAGGTGGTCTGAGGGTCAGGGATTGGGTAGATGGCCTCATCTGGGCAGTCTGCTCATCTGGGGAGCCTTCCCCTGCAGCAATGTTTGGGAGCTCCTGGGCACCCTGTCCCGTAGCCTTCTGAGTCTGGGGAAGGGTGCAGTCCCCACTGCTGAGCCTGTCACGTGTAAGATACTGTCTTCTAAATACATTGCCATTCATGAAACACAGCCATTCCTCAGCAGGGGCCACTGTGGGCTGGGCACAGTGTTACAGCCTGGGGGCATGGCAGAAGCTAGCCTAGTGCCTGCTGTGGTGGGTCATGCCATGGTGCTACCAACCAACACAGAAAGGGTGATTTCCCGTGACTCCTCTGTGTCACAAGCAGGTGAAGGAGGAAGCACAGAGTCACAGATGGATAGGGAGGGAGGGCAGGCGTCTGGGTCTGGCCAGTATTCCTGGCCCTCCCATGGGTGGGGCTGAGGCTGGGACCTGGGCGTATGGTACCTTCGGTGAAGCAATCCTCCGGGTCTTGCACGTCATTGCCAAGGTCAGGGATCTGTTCTATCAGATCAGCGGTGTTGGTCATATCAGCCGTGCTGCCCTCTGAGTAGCTGTCCTCATGGACCTGTGGGCAGTGACAAGGATGAAGGTGTGTGTTGGGGCTGTGGCCTCCAGTCTCCAGCCCAGGAGTTGGGGGGAATCTGAGGGTTCCCTCAGCCTCCACTGCACATTGCAGGATTTTGAGGTTGAGGGCAGGAACCTGCCACAGAGCCAGCCAGGGCTGAGGCAAGGCTAGACCTCCAGGCTCCTGGCTCTGTGGAGTCCAGGGCTTATATGTGTGTGTGTGTGTGTATGGTGAGGGGTATGGAGGGGGGCTGAAGGGGCTCTGGGGAAACTGGGCATGTGCACCTGTAGGAACAAAACAAACATGAGGCAGCAATGTGGACACACACTGGGCCATGGACACAGCTGGACACACACAGAGGACACAGAAGAGAGTCAGAGCCAGGGGGCGGTCACACACAATAGCAAGGGCAGACACACAGAGAACAAGGCCAGCCCATGCTTCCTATGGGCCCATGCCAGTGTGACGTGCATAGAAGGTGCTAGGAACGTGGTCTCTCTGCCGTCCTGCCCTCCACATTCTGACTGGTGAAGCCATCAGAGAGGTGTATGTTCACAGTGGGTCCCTATGCATGTCGCATGGGAGTGCAGGTGTGGCTGTGGCCTCGGCTAGCACCCTGCTATCTTCAGCTGGCATGCCCATGCCCAGGGCCTGTCTGCACTGGCTGCTTTGCCTGCCTCTCTTCCCAAAGATTCTTTCACCAGGGATACACTGTCCCTGCAAATGTCCCCGTGGTTGTGACCCAACTCAAGACAGCCACCATCCAGTGATCGACAGATAAAGGGATCCGAGGAGGCTCATTTCTGGGAGATACGGATCATGAAGAAACTAGACATGCATTCGCAAGTCTTTTGCACTAATGTAAGCTTATTGATCAATTTTCTGAAGTGCTCTCCTCTGGCAAGCCAGCACCTTGCCCGTGTTGAGAACATGGTGGTGTCGTGCTCTTGGAAGCGATCAGGCCAAGGCTGGCTCCAGCCCACAAGCCTCACTGTAGCCTCTTCGTGGCCTCCTGCCTTTCAGCAGTTCTCCCTGGGGGTTCTGCCCCAACAAGCTGCCTGCACGGTCTCCCATCCAAGTACTAACCAGGACCAACCCTGCTTAGCTTCTGAGATCAGACGAGATCGGGTGCGTTCAGGGTGCTATGGCCGTAGACAGCTGCCTGCACAGAAGGTGCCACTTCAAGCCCTGCTGCTAGGAATCCCATCTGAAACCCACTGTGGCATATCGTGAATCCTTTCCATCAGCTCAGGCTGTGTGCAGACAGGTGCTGGACACGCCGGGGGTGTGCCCTCCAGCTGCCATCTTTTCTCTTTGTGCCAGTGGCTGTGCCCAGGTCTGACCATGCACTGCCCGTTTCTGAGGTCTGCAGCGGGGAAAGGTGGAAACTGGGGAAGCAGAGCTTGTGGCTGGCTGCAGGGTAGATCCGTGGCTTTGAGGGTGCTCTCCCATTTCCCCGCAGTGAGCTGGGGTGTCTGCAGCAGACTGGGCCAGGCGTGGAGTAGGTCACAGGAGGTCTTTGTGCCACGTGTCCTTCCAGGCACTGGAGCTGACTAAAGCAGGAGGACAAGTCCTCAGAGCCCCAGCAGGTGGGATGAAGCAGTCCTTCTCCTGGGAAAATCCCAGCTGCTTGTGCTGTCAATATCCCAAGGAGAGAGCCCCTGCCTCTTCCTGCAGGTGTCAGCCCATCCAGGGAGGAGGTCCATGGTTGGCATGCACGATCAGGAGAATGGCAGCTCCCCCAGGCCATCATGCTCCCCAAGTGGCCTGTCTCCCCAGAGGGCCAAGCTAGCAAGCACTGGCTGAGGAGTGATGCCAAATGGCAGCTCAGCCTCATCACCCTGAGCTCCTGGGGTGCATAGGCCAATGCTGGTCCTGGGCACAGTTAGGTCCTTGCCCAGCAGCTGCCCAGAGAGCAGGGTGCTGCTAACAGCGGTGGATTACTCACAAAGCCCCCTCATGGTTAGGAAAAGCCTAGTGGTAGCTGGTCAGCCTCCGGCCGTGGACTCTGCAGGTTCGGCTGTGGGGCAGCTGCGGAGCAGATGGGCTCTGGGCCAGGAACTTGTTCTCAGTGTGTTCACAAGCCTTACAGGGCAAACAGGACTGACACACAAGGCCAACGTGGGGATGGGGAGGAGCTGGGCTAGCTGCTGGGGCCCATGCCAGGACCTGGGATGGGAGGCCACCCTCCCTCTATGATAGCCAGTGCAGGCAGGGGCCCAGGACCATGCACCCTGGCCCCCAACAGGAGCTCTGTCCCCTACAGCCTCAGGGACAGAGGTGGCAGTGTTACCTCGTGGTGCCCTGGGGCCTGGGGCTCTGCTTGCCGCTGCTGCAGCCAGCTGGCCTGAGATGCACTGGCCTCGGCCTCGGAGGAGGCCATCTCGGACACCTGGCTCCAGACCCGGGGCTCCGGGGCGCCCTCTGGGTCACCAGACAAAGGCTGGGATTCCTGCTGAAGAGACCCCAGCCCATGAGTGGCACCCACACAGCCAGCCCAAGGGCTTCCAGGGCCCCCATCCTGGCCCTGACACATCATCCATCTCCATCTCACTCAGGACCTCTCCCTGAGGGGTCCCCTGGGCCAGTGGGCAGAGGTGCCTCCTGGGTCCAGGCCAAAGGACCCCTGGCCAGCACAGTCCACATCTCCCCTCCCTTGATCGCAGTCAATGGAGCATCTGGGCCATGGTGCCCAGCCCAGCCAGCCAGGAGGCACAGGCTGACTCCTCATGAGTCTGCACAAACACACACATACACCCAGGGAGCCAGAGTCGACTGGTTTCAGAGAAAGAAAGGAAGGAATGGAAGGAGGGAGAGAGGGAGGAAGGGAGAAGTGGCTGGATCCCACTTTCATATGGAAGAGAATTACAGGCTGTGGCCTTTCAAGGACTCTGCTCCCCTCCTCCCCCCAGCTGCCATAGCCACTGCCCCACCATCCTGCCTAAAAGGGTCAAGATTGGGAGCACAGAGAGGTGGGAGGAGCCAGGATTATGTCCAGAGCCTTTGATATGATCAGGTTCCACAAAGTGGGCGGGACAACGGCTGCTAGCCCAGGCCAGGTCCCCCCCTCCCACTTGACTGACACCCTAGGGGTGGGAGGAAGCCACTAGAGCCTGGCTCAGACCACTGGGAAGCTGAGCGGGGGTGGCATGGTCTGCCTGGTCCCAAGTGTTAAAAATAACGGGTTGGGAGATAAGATAGCGGCCGTCTCCGACACCTCCGTCTTGGGGATGCTTATTTTTAATTCTCTGAAGTCGTCCCAGAGTGGGAGGAAGGGAAGGGCCAGATGGGAGGTCAGGAACCTGTACTGTCACTGAGACATCCCACCCTGGAGGGGCCTGGAGTGAGGGTGGAGGGAGCGCTGAGCTCTTTTCAGGCTCAGCAGGACCATGAGCAAGTCTACTGCTGTGCGGCTGTATCTCCCTGTCCAATTAGTTGGACCTGTGAGAAACAGCTACTCTGCAGGCTGGGAGGGTCCCTGTGCCTGCAGGTGCTCTGGACACACACTGGGGCTCACCTGCCTGCTGGTCTCCTCCTCAGCGCTCAGGCTATTCTCCTCATCTTCCTCTGGGTCATCTGTGTCCGATTCAGCCACAGCAATGGGGACACACACGGGCTCTAGGTCCCCGGGGACACCCTCACCCGGCCGTCTGCCTTCCTCGAACCGTGTTTCCTTGCGCGCTGGGGGTGGTTTCTCCGCCTCTGGGGGTGGTGGGGAGCCAGAGGAGGCCACGCAGCTGGGCATTGGACCACGGATGGCAGGGGCTGTGGGCTTGGGTGGCCGCCGCAGGAGCCTGCAGCAGCAGTCCCGGGTGGTCCGTTTGAGGAAGCGCAGGCCCCGCTGGATGCGGGCCAGGGCCAGCTGCAGGTTGTTCATCTCGCCGTCCTCATCCGGGGCCGTGAGGTTGTCTGCGCTGAAGGAACTGAGCAGCAAGGCCAGGAAGAGGTTCAGGACCTGCAGAGGGAATGGGGCAGGCCACTTGCTATGGTACAGTGCCCAGCCATGGGGGCGAGTGGCTTCTACTCAAGAAGGGAAAACCGAGGCCCTGGGGTTCGAACCCAGGGCTGAGGTGTGCTCTCTAGACTCTTGGGGTTTCAGCTTTGCAGTGTTTCCAGGAGCAGATGGAATTGAGGGTCCCCAAACCAGGATCCTTACTTTCATGCCCAGGGATAATGTCACTGCCTTCAGCTGCGGACAAGGACCCACAAAGCACTTGTCCAAGGTCACATGAGGTGTCCAGCCTAGAACCAACCTGGTACTTGTTGGGTCTTTCTCTCTCGACTGCTTTGAGGGTAATGGGAGTCATGGAGGTCGGGAAGGGCACAACTCTTTTCTGGGCAGTGGAAGCCCAGTATTCCCCCACTGCAAAACCACCGCAGCTCTGGGGGCTCTTCTGGGAAGGAAGGCCAGGGGTAAGGATGTGCTAGGTGAGGGCAAGGGGCACTGGGCTGGACAGAGGCTCTGGATTGACTGGGGAGGGGCACTGGGGAGCCAATGGGCAGCTCACTTGGCTCAGAGACCTCTAGGCTGTTCTGCATAGCTGTTGGCTGTTAGAAACAAGCAGCTGTGGCCTCTGCGGAGAAAAAGGACTTTGCTTGTGACAGCAACTGGGCTTTGGTTGTGTCCCTGTCCACCCCCTTGACCCTGAATAAAACATGCCAGAGCTAAAGCCCCCCCATGGATGTCTTGGTCTTCCCCCACCCCCAGCTTCCCCAAGAAAGAGAAAGGGGCAAGTGCATGGGGTTCTGGCGACGGATGGCGGCCCACCGGGAGGGTCCACTGCTCTCAAGCCCCTAAGACATGCTGCTTGCCGGGACCCCCACAGTAGCCAGAAAACCTGGGGCTACAGATTCTGATGAGTGCGCCAGAGCTCAGCAACATGCCTTGGGTTTGAAGCATAACACACATTCATGTGGACAGCACGGAGGGAGGGGGTGGCAGGGCCTCCCTGCTATGTCTGCAGGCAGATGATCACTTCTGACACCTGGCAGCCCTTCTCTGTGTCATCTCTGGGTCCAGGCCACGTGAAGCCTTCCAGAGCTGCCATCTATCTGCACTGACCTCCCTGGCAGCCCACCCCTTCCCGCCACCCCCCCCCCCCCCGCCGTGTCCCCACAACCCAGCCTGGACTGTCCTGCATCCTGGCTACCTACTCTGGACCCTCTTGACAGCCCTGTCCCATGCCTGGCTTGCACCTCCTGACCTCCACGGATCTTGGGACCGGGCTGGGGGGCAGCCCCATCCACCCACACAGGACTCTAGGGCCTCCCCGCCTCCGGCTCCAGAAGCTCGGCAGCCTGTGTACAGTGCTTCCCCCAGTCAATCAACGCTGCTGTTGCTCCCCAGCCCTGCGGCTCATCACTTCCTATTGCTTCCTCCCACGCCTCTGCCGGCAACGGCCCAATTTCTGAGGCTGCTGCAGGGAGGGGGCTGCGTAGGCTGGAGTCAGCTTCCCTTTCTCTAGCAGCTTCGAATCCTTCTGTCCCCAGAAAGGTCCGTGGGCACTCACAGGGCTCTGGGAGGGGCTGTTAAGCCTGGCCCCTTAGAGCAGAGCTCACCCCGAGGAGGACAGAGCGCGACCTGGCTTCCATGGGCCCTGGGCACTGATGCCCTGGCTCCTCTTGGGACTCTGAGCTCAGCGTTTGGGACTACATTTGGCCTGGTTTAAAGCCGGTAGGTGCAGGGAAGGGCTTTGCAATTCATAACTTCTCAGACCTGCCCCATAGCCATGATCTGATGTGACTTTATGCAGCTCACAGACATAAATGCTGCACCAGGAGCAGGTGTGAGCATCCAGGGAGAGGGCTCTGTGTCTTCCACCTGAACTACTGATTTTCCTCAACCTTGCAACCTTCAAAGCCACCTTCTCTGACATTTATGATCTGCCTCAACTCTAGTTATATCCACATTGTAAAAATATGTGAAAGTGAACTTGGCTTAGGGTGGACAGGTGGCCCCCTTGTGCTAGGAAAACAGGGAACTCTTTCCACAGCTGCCTATGGGCCACCTAGCCATGCTTGCGCCCTGCCTACCCTGTCTTTTCCCTCTTCAGCAAGAGCCATGTATTGGGTCGGCTCCAAAGACTCCTCCTCTGGGAAGGCTCCTCCTCTGTGGCTCTGGTCACCTAGACCGGCTTGGGTTAACTCAACAGCTGTCTGACCCTATCCCCTTCATCCCCCGTATCTCTCAAGGGAGCGGTGTCAAGGTGGGGGCTGGACACATTTACCTCTGTACGCACAACGTTTTGTGTGTCAAGGAGTTCCTAAGATGTTTGTTGAGCTGGAATGAAAAAACTGGGAGCTGGGTGTTGGCCTTATGAGTAAGATGGGTATGTCTGATATCAAGGGGCTTTTGGTCTAACTATGTATCTATCAGAGGGTTCTGGCTCGACTGCTACTGAAGAACTTGGGAGGCAGAGCTCAAATGCCTTGCTCTTGACATTCACATGCAAGTCCTGGATTTCATCCCTGGTTCCCGGCTTTAACCTCAGCAGCTACAGAGGGCATGTGGAGAGTAAATCAATGGATGGAAACATTCTTTTTCTGTCTCATATAAGTAAATGTTTAAAATTAAAAAAAAAAAACAACTTCTCAAATGAACGATTTAAAAGAAAGTTAAACTGTGTGAAGGCTAATAAAATAATGGATAGATTAAGAAATGAATAAATTAGAAGAAGTAATAAGTCAATAGATTAAACGAGCAAGATGCAATGAAAAAGTGAGTGAACAGATGAGTCAATGAGTGAGGAAGTGGGCAGACAGTTCAATGGACAGGTGAGTAGACAGATAGGACTGGTGAATGAATGAGTGAGTGAGTGAATGAATGAATGGGAAGGTTGATGGATGGGGGAACAGATGAGTAAGTGGTTAGGTAAATGAAGGAAGAATAGATGAATGGTTGGATGGGTAGGTAGGTAAATGGATTTGTGTGTGTGAGAATGAATGGGTTGATGGACAGATGTACAGATGGGTGCTCAGAATGGTTAGCTGGATGGATTGATGGAAATGGATTTGTGTGTGTGAGAGAGAACAAACGGGTTTATGGACGGATACATAAATGGGTGCCAAATGAATGGCTGGCTGGATGAGTCAACTAGAGCTGTAAGATGGACGACTGGGGGAATGAATGGACAATGGTAAGACTGGTAAGCAGGTAGACTGAAGGACAGAGAAGTGGACAGATGAATGGATGGGTTGGCTGATGAGTGTAGGTATGGCTGGAAGAGTAGACAGATCAAAGAATGAACAGGGAAGTGAATAGATAGATTTATGCTAAGTGCAAATATGCTAAGTGGTTGCCCAGGGGGATGAATGGTTGGGTGAACAGACAGATGAGAGAATGAGTAATGAGTAGTTTGGTACATGACTAGATGGGTAGATAGATCAGTGGATGGCTTGGTGGACAGATGAGTGAGTGGGAGGGAGGAAGGGTAAGTGAATGCAGTTGGATAAATGTATGTGTGTGTGTGTGTCTGGCTGACTTACCACAAGGTTGCCAATGACCATAACAAGCAGGAAGACCAGCAGGCACAGAGACTGCCCAGACACTTCCATGCAGTCCCACATGGTCTCAATCCACTCGCCACAGAGGATGCGGAAGATGATGAGGAAGGCATGGAAGAAATCCATCATGTGCCAGCGAGGCAGCAAGCCTGAGTCACTGATGCGATGCCTCAGCTCTGAGTAGTTCTTCCCGAAGAGCTGCATGCCCACCACGGCAAAGATGAACACGATGATGGCCAGCACCAGCGTCAAGTTCCCCAGCGCTCCCACCGAGTTCCCAATGATCTTGATGAGCGTGTTCAAGGTGGGCCACGATTTGGCCAGCTTGAAGACCCGTAGCTGGGGAGGAGGAGGGGAGGGGGTCCCTGTGAGGGCTTCATTGCCTGTGACGCCCCAGCTCTGCCTCAGCCTGCAGAACCCATGGAGCTCTGTGCTGCTGCTGTGACAACACACCCTTCTGTTCCTCTCCACAGCCTTGGCCACACTGTGCTCTGGGCATCAGGGCAGCAGCTCCAGGTCTGTCTCCTCAAGCTCCCTGCTGGCTTGAGTCTCCCTGCCAGGAGCTACCCACTAGATTCTCCCAGCATGCAGTGGGTGCCCTGCCTCTTCCAGACCTGTCCTCATCAGGTAACCTTGGGGCCAGTTCAAATCCTCTCTGACTGCCCAGTCATCTCCATCTTTCCTGCCAGTAATCACAAAGAAGGTGGCAGATACTTAACACGTGCTGAACACCTAAGTGTCAGACCTTACGCACAGGATGGATTAACTCCTCCAAAAGCTCGTGATCAGCATGTGAGGTCAGCATTGCTATGTGGTCACCACATCCAACCAGCAGAGCAGCTTGTCTAAGTTCCTCGGCTCAGAGCTCACGGCCTTGCCTTTCCCCATGGCTCCACCATCCTGCCGTGCTACTTCTCAAAGTGAAACCCCTCATGGTGCTTGGAACTGTTTGTGGGAAGCTTTCCCTAACCACACCTCCAGCTCCACATGGCGGCCATGGGGAGCCACCTGAGACCTCCTGAATCAGAATCTGAATTTCACCGAGGTTCCCAGGTAGCCTTGCATGCATTCGTTTTCTGATTCGGAAATCAACAGGCAGAGCCTATGGTTAAGTGGCCCGCAGCCCCGGCCTCACCTATTGCATGGCAGGAGGCTTTGGGATACGTGTTTTGCCTTAATCTTAGCCTCCTCCCTGTGACCTGATCTGTGAATACCCAGACGCTGTGGGGACTGAGGAGGTTATAATGGACCCGGCTAACCTCACAGGTGTGCCCACCCTCGTCCCCCTGAGCAGCAGCTGCTGCAGGCAGGTACCAGGCGGAAGGAGCGCAGCACCGACAGGTTGCCCATGCGGGACAGGCCCAACTCCATGAGGCTCAGGATGACGATAATGCTGTCAAAGATGTTCCAGCCCTGCTGGAAGTAGTAGTAGGGGTCAAGGGCAATGATCTTGAAGGTCATTTCCGCCGTGAAGATGCCAGTGAAGACCTGAGGAACAAGCAAAAGGCAGAGGTCCTGACACTGAAAGAGCCTCTGGCCAACTCGGGGGCACCCTGCCTTTAGACTCTCTCCTGGGTGTGGCTCTACCTGTACCAAGGCCCACTCCCCGCCCCATGCTTCAGGCAGGTGCCTCAGCCATGGCCCCACCCCACATGAGCCACTGTCTTCCCACCTCAGTCACCATCCCGCCCCCAGGGGACCGCCGTCTTCCTTCCTGCGTCTCGGCCCCAGCCCCAGTTTTCCTCCTCAGCTGTGGCCTTGCCCTCTTGGCCTCTCACCACACGAGACAACAGCCTGGTCATGGGAAAGAACAGGCAGCCATTGAGGGTTCTGTGGGGACTCATAAGGGAGCCAAGGTGGGTGCTGACATGACACAGTCCCACAGCCCTCAGCTTTGGTCTCCACAGCAAGCATTTTCACTCCACACATCCCGAGCAAGGCTGATGGCGTCTGTCCTTGTCTCCCTGGAGGGCCTCTCCCCAGGCTCGCCACCAGCCACCATTTCTCAATGGCCTCCAATAACTGTATTCTTTCTTTTTACTGGCCTAGCTGAGGAGAGCTTCATGGTGGCCATTTTACAGGTTAGGGAGCTGAGGTTTTGAGTTTGAGGAAACAGTGTTGTCCTTGGAGTCGGAGGGTCCCTCCTGGTCCTGGAACATTCTTGAGTGAACAGCTGCTGGGCTCTGCCTGATGCATTCATTCAGGACTCCTGAGCTGTGCAGCCCTGGCCAGTCAAGGAGTCTGACGTGTAGGGGGGCCAGGCAGCTGTGGCTGTGGCTAACTGCCTCGAGCTGTGCCAAGGGTACCAACAGCAGCTTGGCTCCTGGAAGGAGAATGTTCTGTGAGATCCTGGCTGCTGGGGAAACCAAGGGCCTTCTTTCTGGGTCATGCTGTGGAGCAGTCTGGGGCACCCAGGGTATTCTGCAGGGCAGGGCCAGGGTCCCTCTGGGAACAGTGTGGGGCATGCAGTAGCTGTGAGGAGGTGGGAGAGGGGCTGGATACAGGGGCACAGCATGATGATGTCACTGGGTTGGCAATCAGAGGGTGAGTTACCATGGGCTGGGCCGCCTCCGCACTCTATGAGAGAAGATGGGCACCCTGCACATACACCTGCTCTCGCCATAGATAGGGCTGCATGGACTGTGACAGGAGAGTTCACTGCCTCACTGTGTCCCAAGCAGAGCTATCTTCCATGACCCCGCAACACATGCTCACTAAACGCATGAATGGCCGGGCCTTGGCACAGAGACACCCATCCCCCACTTCCGGCCCCTGCTGGACTACCCTCCTCTCTGGCACACCATGGCTAGCATTCACATTTGGGGAGTGCAGTCAAGGAAGGGTTCCACACCTCACCGTGTCTAGGCTCCAGCTCTCACGAGCAGTCAGACCTCTCGCCATGGGATCATCCCTGGTTTCCCAAGGCTGTGGGTGTCACAGTTTGGTGATACGAGGTAAGCTGAGATGGGCACCTGCCACTGTGTGATCCTGGGCCAGCCTCTCATCTGAGTGTCCAGTGTACCCAGATGTAAAATGGGGATAACACCAACTCCCCAGGAGGCTGGAGTTAATGGCTGAAAAGGATGATGATTGCTGGCACCGGCAGCATTGATCATGTCTGCCTGCCTGCCGAGGGGGCCCAAAGTACCAGATCCAGGCAGATGTCAACAATACTGCTTGTTGGATATGCTCGCTGGCCTGAGGCTCAGTGTGGGGACTCCTTGCCCTGACTTCCCGTAGGAGGTCTAACCATCTTTAGCGGAATAATCCTTTACTCACTGTAAACCTGCATTTGGAACCTGGTGAACGGCCATCCGTGCCCACTAACCACAGTTCCCAGCAGGTGGAGATTTAAATAACATTGCCTGCTCCACCGTATGGTTGTGCCATCATGGGCCAATCCTGCCCATCCTGGTGTCATACGTTCTTTATTCCTAGTAAACAGTACAGCCACAGTACGTGTCCCTTCCCTAAGGATCTGAAAGCAACCTCTTAGATCATGTTCTAACAGTTGAGTCCTAGAAATGGAATTTCTACAAGACAGAACCTTTGGAGTCTCTGACCCACGCTGCAGAGGACATCCCTGGACAGAACCTGACCTCTCCCATGGGTGATTCCCTTCAACCAAGCCAGTGCTGGGTCCGGTATTTCTGCGACCTTTCCTCAGTCAATAGGAACTTTGTAGACATTTCCTTCGCTTTGGCTTATGGTTTTATTAAGATGTTTATTTTTTCTGCACTGTTTGCAGACACACTTTGTACATTAAGGATGTTACCACTTGGTCCACTATATGCATGGCACAATTTTCCTGCTTTGTGATTTACTCTATTTTTTAAAATTACAAAATACTCTAAGGGTGTTTACCATATATGCTTTAAAGACAGAATCTCAAGAGCATCTTTGTACCAAATTCTGCACACCCCCCCAAATTTTCCCCCTATGTTTCGAATCTTGTTTCATTTTCTCCTACAAAATAATAATAGCCAAGAATTAGATAGCATTTGCCACATGCCAGGTGTTGCTGCAAATCATTTCATCCTTGCAATAACCCTATGTGATGTGTCACCATTCTACAAGGTGGGAACTGAGAAATAAAGAAGCCATTGAGCCAAAGATGTTCCCAGCAGGTGCGCTCACAGGCAATGCTCAGCCACCTGAGGGACTGGCCATTCCAAGGCATTCACCGCGTTGCATCGGAGGTGTCTCGCTGCTGTACATGTTTTTGTATGTTTCAAGCAGAGAAGTTTTGTATTCCTTTCAGCTGCAGGTGCCCTCTTGTTCTCACCTTCCTGAGCTGTATCCCTACCGGAGGCATGTTCATTCTCATTCATGCACAGGTTTTACGGATGGATGCTAACATTTGCTCCAGTTTTCCTCTGATGCACAGCGCTATAAAGACTTCCCCTGTAAGTGTTTCCCTGTGCAGACATGTGTGTTTCTTAAGAAGGTATGCACTGGGCCCAGCGTGGTAGCCTAGCGGCTAAACTCCTTGCCTTGCATGCTCTGGGATCCCATGTGGGCACTGGCTCTAATGCCAGCGACCCTGTTTCCTATCCAGCTCCCTTTTTGTGGCCTGGGAAAGCAGCCAAGGACAGTCCAAAGCTCTAGGACCTGGAAGAGGCTCCAGGCTCTTGGCTTCAGATCAGTGCAGCTCCAGCCATTGCGGCCACTCAGCATCCCTATCTCCCTTAGAGCATGTAAGTGTTCAAGATCATCCGACTTGTGCATCTCTGTAATAAAATGCTTCTCACAATGTCAACTTCCAGTTTGTGGTGGCAATTTCACTTAGCTCTCAGTCTCCTTTTTGTGTGTGCAGATGCTATAAGTTTTAATGTAAATTGTTTCATGTAAATTTATTTTTCCTTCACAATATAAAATCATTCCAAGATCTTCAAACTTTGCCCCCTACTAAAAGTTTAAAACTATTTCCTCTTTCACATGTAGGATTATGCACCTTGGCTATGAGTATGGTGTGAGGTAGGGATCTAAATCTATCTTCTTCCTTGTAGAAATAATTTTCCTCAGTTGTCACTGACCAGGTTCCTAAATACATATTGCAATTTTAAGGTCTCAGTTCTGCACCCTTGCTTTATTTTCTATCTGTGTACCACTACTATGTTTTTAGTTTCATAATGTGTCCAAATAGATTTTAGCAAATTCCCTATCCCATTGATTTATTTTTATAGATTCCACTTTTCATAAAAATTTGAGGATTACCTTGTCAAATTCCATAAAAAAAAGTGTTGAGATTTTGAATCACGCTGACCTTATAGGTTTATCTGAGAAAAAACCGATGCCTCTGTAACATTTAGGCTTTTATTCATGAAAACGGCACATTGCTCCACCTGTTTAAGGTTTCTTTTATGTTTCCTAATAGTTTCACAATTGTTTCCACGTAGAATTCATATATCTTTGGTACATTTGTTCTTGCATTTTTTCCATAGTTTCTATTATGATTGTGCTAACTTTTCTTCTTACAAAGCTTGTGAGGACCACCAGCGAAGATTTTGGTTATGACTCTAGGAACACAATTTACCATTCTGAGTCTATACTCATGAATATGGTGGAACGCTCATTGGTCCTAACAACCTCGTAGGGGATGTTCTTGGGTTACTTACATATTCAACATCATCATCTGGTAAATGGTGGCAGATCCGTTTACCTTCCTTCTTTCTTCATCTGTCTGCACTATATGGTCGGAAACATCCCTAGACTTATGTTTATCATCCCATACTGCATTCATGTACTATTTGGTTTATAAATTGGGCTTTTGGGACAATAAGATGCTGGACTCTATGCTTGGTATATGCTTGCAATGAAAGAACCTCAACTGAACTTGAACTGTGGCAATGTAGCAAGGTGGAGGAATCCACCATGGGGGGAGGGTCGGGGCAGGGGTAGGGGGAATCCCAGTGCCTAAAAAACTATGTCACATAATGCAATGTAATAAAATAAATAAATAAATGAAATGAAATTTAAAAATTGGGCTTTTGATCTCAGTAGTGACGTTTTTAACGCCTAGTATTTCATTTGGCTCTTTTTCGAAGTTGAGGTATTCTCCCTTCTTATGTTTTGAATTCCCTTTTAATGTCGTTGGCTAGTTTAAACATTACTGCTTTATCACCTTGCGGGTGGCATTTCTACTGTGTCACTTTGTGAGGAGGTAAGTCTGAGTGAGAGAGTGTGTGCTGACTCTTGCTCACGGTGAGCTATCGCCTTGTGTGTTTTGTACTTTGGCGGCACTTAGCATGGCTGGGGTGAAAGGTATGCTTTGTTGGTGGACTCTTGCAGGCACCTGCGGCATCCTCCCAGCATCACTGAAGAGGCTCATGTGTTAGTCACAGACTTCAACACAACTCAGCTGTGACTGGGGCCCTCCATCTTTGTATGACCACATCAACAGCCAGAAGCTCCCTCCCTTTCAGCCCAGCTGAGATAGCTTTTCTTGATTTATTTATTTATCTCACTTCCCTTGTGACCAAGCAGGTATTTCTACTTCACTCAAAGTAGAGGTTGTCGCTGTGGCCTGAATGGTTTCTCCAAAACTCCAGTGGACAATGAATTTCCATGGATGACATGTTGCCTTGGAGAGGTGACTCGGGCACTGCCCCCACGAAAGAGCTCAGGCTGTCCCTGAGGGAGTGGGTGACTTACTGTGGGGGGGTGGGCACAGTTCTAAAAGGCACTTGGCCCCTTCCCTCTCTGCCTCCGGCTTGCTCTCTGGCAACGTGATGTCACCCACCCTATTAAGCCAAGTAAGAAGGCCCTCATCAGATGCGACCCCTGATCTTGAACTTCTTAGTCACCAGAACCACGAATCCAACAGACATAACTTGTTTGTCGTTTACAAAGTCTGTGGTGCTCTCTGACCAGAGAATGGACTAACACAGCCATATTCTTTCGGGTTACTCAGCTCCAACTCAGATTACCAGCATTCCTAGCTTGAGGATCTCTGCCGTGTGTGTGGATCACCCAAGCTGGCACTCCCCGCCCATGCAGTCACAGAGCTATTCCACACATTTTCACTTCTGGCACGCCCTTAATGCTGCATTTCCAAAAACTGCTTGCTAAATTTTGTTATTACATTTTTAATGGCTTCACTACAGGAATCTTTTCTGGCTTTCTTGTCCATAATCCTTCTGGGGGTGGACATTTCACCTGTCTTTGACCTTTGCTAGGCTGAAAAATGAGTCAGATAGATCCTCATCTTCTAATCTTTACAGTTTGTCTTTGGAGACAAGCTCAGGATGGCTTTTTCCCATACTAAGATTATGTGTGCATGTTTGTTTTTGTGGATTTTTTTTTTCACATTTAACATTTAAATCATCTATAATATATTCCATGCAAGAAACGAAAAACCTAATGTACTAGCAACGTAAGGCATAATAAAATGCAGGTATAATCCAGCTCCACTGTCTATGACCAGCAACTGGACCACAACAGCAATTTGGAAACAACACAGCAACTTGGGGGAGGGGTGTCTTTACACTGCCTGGCTGCTGGAAATCCCACATAACCACCATCTAAGCCCCCTCAACACACCCAACAGCTTCTGGAGATGTCTGCAGACCCAGGTATCGCTTTTACTTCTTTTTGCAGACAGGGAAAGGAGATTACAGCACAGTGAATGAGAACATCTGTCTCCTGCAGAAAGCTACTTTGAGGCCTGGGTTTGCAAAGTATCTCGGAAGAGAGCCCTCACCATCCCCAGTTTGGAAGTCCTAGTGCCCAAGGGGCACCTGAGCATCTGAGCCTGAGGCAGGACTAAGTCTACTGCAAGAGAGAACTTAGACAAAAGGGCTAGGGGGTCCCTCCCTCACCCAACCTCTGTGAAGACCCCAGGCGCTCCCTGCTGGGCCTGCGCAGAGCCACAGTGCCCCTGTCCACAGGAACCCACTGGCTACATGTCTACTGTGCCTTCCACGTCATCCCCTCTTTCTCTGTGCTTCAGTCTCCCCTTCTGTATGGTGAAGAGGCAGGAGCTGATTTCCCCTCAAGAAGAGAAACCGGAATTAGAACCCAGACCATCTGACTGCTAGGGCAAGTCTCTTCCATGACAAGAATCATCATCATCATCACAGCTATCGTTTACTTTGAGTGGTTAATGTTTATCAAACTCTGAGTCAAGCACATCAGATGCATGATCTTATTCAATCCTCATTAGCTCCCTATGAGGTTAATATTGTCACACTCATTTTGCATTTATTAAATTCAACAAATACTTATTCTGCCAATTACTGAGACTAAGAGTTAATAAGAGCTGAGTCAGAAGTCAAATCTGGCTCTGATTAATTCACTGTCTCCATCCATCCATTCATGCATATACCCATCCATCCACCTATTCAACCATCCACCCATCTTTCCACTCACCTGTTCATCCATTTATCTATCCATCCATCCAGCCACCTACTCACCCATCCATCTGCCTGCCTGTCCGTCCATCCGTCCATCCGTCCATCCATCCATCCATCCATCCATCCATCCATCCATCCATCCATCCATCCATCCATGTTTCCCTCTATCTCGCCATCTATCCATCCTTTTGCCCATTATAAAACACTGGCACTCATCTATACCAACCCTCACATACGATGCCTGCTTCAGAGCAGGCTGCAGGTGGGCCTTACCAGATTTCCGACCTGTAGCATCTCCTCAAATTCAGCAGTCATGTTGTAGTGCTCCAGTGCCATGAACAGCGTATTGAGCACGATGCACATGGTGATGGTGAGGTCAGCAAAGGGGTCCATGACCACGAACTTCACCTTCTGCTTGATGGACATCCACAGGGGACAGCACTCCCAGATCAGGTAACGCTGGGCGAAGTGGTTCCAGCATGGGGGGCACTTGCGGTGAGACTCTTCCAACTCTGGGGGAACAGCTAGTGTTAGTTTGGTTGATGGAGTCCTGTGCATCTGGTGACACCCCAAGAGATAGCTAGTATCGCCTGGGGTCTTGACATGTGGACAGGGTTGCTCAGATGCCAGTGGGACAGCGAATGGGGGCAGGATAGACTAAGGACATGGCCTGGGAAAAGAGGGCCCCAGGGACAAGAGACCAAGACTGAGATAGGACCAATGAGGAGAAAGGTATGCGCCCTGGGGACAATAGCCCCATGTGGACAAGCACACCCAGGACAGAGCAGGTGGAGGCAGATGGGGACTCGTGGGGCCTGAGTGAGATGAGAAACATCTGGGAGAGGAAGAACAAGCAGGGAGGTGAGACCCCAGGGGTGGCCTAGGACAGGTGTGGGGCTTCTTCATGTGGAAACAGCAGGACAGCTGTGCGATGCCTGGGAGGGTGAGGCAGAGAGGACAGAGGCTTCCAAGAGGCCAGAGCGGGCCTAGGTGAGCTGGGACAGGCCCAACACAAACGTAGGAGAGATATGAAGATGGGCTGGGGCCACTCTAAGCCTGAGACAGCTCGGGGCCAGTGTGGAGACATGGGGGACAGACTTGGACACTGTGGCCCTTTGCAAGAAACAACCACACTGGCGGCCTGGGAAAAAACGAGGCAAAACCAGAATGTCCAAGTCAGGCCAGTGCAGCCGAGACCCGAGGCAGGCTGGGTCAAGGTGAGACACCCGGAGTGTAGGTGGAGAGGGTGAGGACGACCCCGGGGTGCTGACCTTCCAGTGCGCTGGTGAGGACACTGACGGCGCTGAGAGCTCGTTGTCGTGCTCCTGGCTCTTCACAGCCATCCACACCTGGAGCCTGGGGAGTCACTATTTGAGGCCCAGCTGGCTCCTCTGATGGCGTAGTCTGGGGACAAGCAGGACACATGTGTCAGTCTCTGGGTGGGCGTCTTGTCCCCGACCTCCCCAGTCCTGCTGAGTCTAGGGTTGTTGCTCCATGAGGCGGCTGGCCTGCACCGATGCTGCGGAGGTCGCAGGGGGACAGACACCGGACAGACTCCACCTTGCTCCTATTCCCTCTCCAGCCTCTCACTGGAGCTGATCCCAGTGGGTCAGGAAACAGTCTGTGCCACACGTCCTTCTAGATGCTGTTGTGTGCATAGTACTGGCAGAAGTGATCTGGGGGTTGGTACTGACCACACGCTCCCTAGAGTTAAGAGCATCGAGATGCTGAAACAAAAACCCAGTGTGTGCTCAGATGCCACTGGGAGAAGCACAAGGCTTAGAGCTGGCTGCAGGGCAGGCTGTGGTCTTCTGGAGGGGGCGGCGTATTTGCTTGTGCCCAAAAGGTTCTTAACTGGCCCCGCCATTCCTCATCTAGTGATCTGACTTCATAAATAATAGGAGACATGCACCCAAAATATACATAACTGATGTTGATTGCAGTATACTGCTTCTAATACCATAAAAACAAGACAAGCAATCAATAGGCAGAATATTAAAATCAATTATGGATATGATCTGACTCTGGACCCTGATACGCTGGTGAGAACGAGGCAGGTCTGTGGATGCTTTCATGGGAACATCTCCAAGACAAACAGTTGGATGAAAAAAAAAAAATCCTGAAGATGAACACTGGAATGTTAAAGTGTCTAGGGAATGGGCTCACTGGGCAAGGGAGAGAGGCCATTAGCTTTGCACTTGATGTGCTTCTGCACTCTGGGGTTCATCTGGAGCATGCATGCACTGCTCTCATGAGCCAAAGGACTGAGCTGGGAATCAGGGAGGCCTCCCATCTGCACAAGGAGCTAGGAGCAAGGGGCCTGGGCTAGCCTGTGTGGCAACCAGTGTGGGGTGGGTAGTGCCACGGTCCCAAAGCAATCACAGGCCTCACCCCTGAGGGCCCAGCATGTTCCAGCTTCTAGCTTCTCTCCCTCCCTGGCACCTGTCATGCCTGGATCACTTAATTTCCCTCTCCCTGAACTGCTGCCGGGGGGCCAAAGTAGGTGTCCTATCCAGGGATGGTGGCCTGGTTTGGGGCAGCGGGAAGAGCCACACGGGCACATTTTCCTTGCTCCCCTGGGGTGAGAAATCCTCTTACACAGCAACCACCCCCTCTCAGCCTGGGCCACTGGCCAAGGATAAGCAAAGCCTTCCTGAGACCAACCAGGGCAGCATCCAGCCTGCCACAGTGCAGCAGAGGGCGGGATGGGCGTGGGAACAAAAGCTTATTGGCTGGGCAACTCTCCTCTTCCGCCTGTGCTGTACGTGGCCCATCAGCTCTCAGCCCACGGCTATCCATTAAAACGCTCCAAGCCTTAGAGGCGTGCAGGTGCCTGAGGCTCTGCTTTGCTTTCGGGCAAGTAGAGAAGGCATTCACTAGTAAGAGTAGGCATTCCCGAGGCCTGCCTGCTCATCTTTCTGACTTTCCAAGCGTCTCTATCTCAGTGGCTCACTAATTCCTTTAGCTTTGCAAATGACCCCACATCTTGGCCTGCTAATCCCTTTAAGGTTACAGATGGCCCCTCCAGAAGTGAGAATGGGTGAAGTCAGAGTTCCCAGTAATGAAGTGTTTGAACTTGGATTCCTCCCGACATGTGCAGCACAATGAGATGATGTTCTCACTAACGAGATTAGGAAATTCCATTAGCGCTCTCGGCTGCTGACCTGATTCTATCAGGCAGAGGCTCTGGGCTGCACCTGCCTGGTCTGGCGCTCCTGGACTCCAGACACTCCGCCCTCCAGGTGAAGTCAGGGGCCTCCACAGTGTCAGCCAGGTCCCTGGGGTGCCTCCCCTTACACCCTGCTCCCCAAGCCACTCTGTCATGCACCCCAAGAACGGATAATACCGACTACTCGGGTATGGGAGGAAGTACTGGGTGACGCACGGGAGCTGCTTGAACGGGGTTTGGTTTTCACTGCTGCTTGCATTCTGCTTCCACTTTACAGATGAGGAGGAACAGAGAGAATAATTAACCTGCAGAGTCCCCTAGCCAGAGCAAGCGTTGGAGCCACAATGGGTGAGGCCATCTGGCTGCATGTCCTCCCTCGCAGTCCTGTGAATCTCCGTGGCAGTCTTCCCCCCTGCCGCGGGCTCGGAGCCACACACGCAGCTTTTTCCCGGCCAGGTGGCTCTGGAAGCTGCTTCAGAGTTCAGGGGTCAGGGAGGATGCTCAGACTGACTGGGCGGACACAAGACTGTTGCTGCACCTGCTGATGGAGTGACTGGTCTCCCACCATGCGGCCAGGCCCTTTCTGACCAAGATTCCAGCTCCTGGTCCCTTCCCTTCCTCTGCTCTGCCACACTGAGCCCAGGCCGTGGCCAGGATAGCGTGGGACAGGGCTTTTTCATGCCTGGACTGTGACTCCAGAGATGAGGGTGTGGCATCATCAATAGTGTCCTTATTACTTAGCATACATCAGCCATGTGATCCAGGCAGTTTTCACCCCTTTTATGTAGAGGAGACCTGAGAGAGGGACAGCTGGGAACTGGCACTTTAACCCATTTTTCTCTAGTTTAGGTATTACCCTACAGTCTTGGGTTTAGCTCACTGCTGTTGTCTTGGTACTCTTTGCTTAAGTGCCTCATGTGACGGTGGGTGGGTGGGGGGACCTTTCCACTTGGGCTGACCCTGAGCCACCAATTGCTAAGCACTAAGCACTGGGGTGTCACATACTTGGGGGGATTAATGTCACCAGAAGCCCTCAGCGTGGCCCCTTTCCCAGGCTCCCCTAGGCTGTGTGCCCAGGACCAACTCCAAGGGTCACCACTGGCGCTGTTCTCCCATGTATCTGCCTGCGTTTCACCAGCTGTGAGATACCTATGACCTGTGGCTCACTGTCCCACGCCACTCATGCACACATGGACTTCTTCCTGTGACTTTCGCCTGTCTCTGAGGGCAGAGATGCTACTGACAGGTTTATCTGCCCTAGGACCCAGCCTGCAATGGGCTCCCAATTATGATCTAGGGTCCTGGTACTGGTGACCCATTTGGAAGAACCAGATGTATGTTCAGGTACCTGCATCAGAGGCTGGCTCACCGTGTCCGGGGGGCGCTCCAGCACCCCAAGGCGGAGGAGGCGGCTCCCTGGGGATGTGGCCTCAGGGTCTCCAGCTCCCAGCAGGGAGACCACCCCATTGCAGTCCACAGTGCTGTTCCTTTTGCCATTGAGGGCGTGGCCAGCACTGGGCTGTCCCTGGGTGCTAGGCCGGCGCAGGGGCCAGGGTACCAGCAAGGATGTGCGGTGGCTCTCGCTGTCCCCTGCTGTGCTGTTTTCATCATCTGCAAAATCGGTCTCGGAGCCCAGGTCTCGCCGACGAAAGGTGAAAATGCTCCCGCGGCTGGAGCGTGGCCGCACGGACATCCTGCTGGGGCCACGGGTGAGGCCAAGATGATTCTGAGGAACAGGAGGAATGGGAAGTGACCGAGAAAACAGATCACAATGCACCCCAATGTACCCCTGGTGGTGATGGGCCCTGCCCCACTTCTCTGCCAGCCTCCTAGGAGCCAGGTAGGCAGAACCAGGGGGCAGGTGGTGTGGGGCTAGAAGGAATTCCAGCCCTTCTGTGAGTTTCTCTCTCCGGGTCTTTGAGCCTGAAGGTGGGGCTGAGTTTGGGCAGGGGAAGTAGGCTTGGTTTGCTGCCAGATCTGGCCTGAGTAGGACCCTCCCTCCCAGGGGCACAACCAGTCTATTCTATGGTGCATCCCCCAGCCCCAGCACTGGTGGGCCGGCACAGGCTGGGGCTGTCAGAGCCCTCTGTGCAGAGGTCCTCTGCTCCAAGAATAGCGATGAAAATAGTTGTGGGGGAGCACTCAGGGACACTCTCCATTGGGGTCATGTTGACGTTGCAATGAGCATCCCCTGCCAGACCCACCCTGAAAGGTCTGAGCCACGGCCAGGGATTACCAGGACTATGGGGCCATCATCTGAGTCCGATTTGGGACACTCCTCTGTTCCCGAGGACAGCCGCTTTTTTCTCTTGCTTCTTTTCTCGTGGTTGGCCACCAGGGCCAACGGGGACATCTCCAGGGAGCTACGGGACACGGTATCCACACCCCGGATGGTGAGGGCCTGGAAAAAGGTGAGGAAGAAGGCATAGTCACGGGGACTCCATGTGGGCTCAGGCTCAGGCACCAAGCAGCTCTCCAGACTTGGCTGGTCCCACCAGTAAGGACACCTGCATTTACCCAGGCTGAGGGCCTCTAGCAGCAAAGCACCTGTAGACCCAGGGGGTTTTCACAAAGCTCAAATGCAGGCGGGGAGTGGGGGCTCAGCTGGCTAAAGGGGTCCTGGAAGCAATGGTATGGGAAACAAGCAGACTAAATTGATCCCCAAGGCTGGCTTCTAATGGTGGCTCTGTCCCTAGCCTCCAGTGTCCACCCTGTGGGGCACTGAGTGGTCAGGGTAGCAGCGCCAGGACTACACTGGCTCAAGCTGAGATAACCTGGATACTCGAATCTTTTCTAGGCAGCGTGCCTTAAGTCCCCAGGGACCATGATTTTCCAGGACCCAGCACTTTTAGCCAGCATGCACTGCACTCCCAAGATCCACTACTTCACCCTAAGACTCCATGTTTACCCAGCATGCATCGGGCTCACAGCGGCAGCCCAGTCAGGGGAGGGCTGCCTGCACTGCTCACGCACCTCATGTTCTTTCTTCAGCATCTCCATGGCCTCTTGGAAGCGCTTTTCCTTCTCCTCAGTCTCGGCGATGGTGGCTTGGTTTTGCTCCTCATAAGCCATGGCGACCACAGCCAGGATCAGGTTCACCAGGTAGAAGGAGCCCAGGAAGATGACAAGCATGAAGAAGATCATGTAGATCTTCCCAGCAGACCTCAGGGTCTGGGGAGTGAGAAGAGCAGATACCACCTACACTGAGACCCTCAGGGTGTGAGAGCGAGGGATGGGGTCACCCACACGGAGACCCTCAGGCTGTTGGCATCTCCAAGTCACCCTCTATGGCCATCTGGGTATTCAAATGCCAGCAACCCGGGGTCACATATCCAGCCATAGGAGAAGGACCTCTCAACAGAATGGTGGAGCCACCCATGGGAAAATACTTCACTCCCTCCAGGTGCTGCACTCACAGTGGGAGTGGAATCCATCCAGTGGGCAGGAGAACCGCTGCCCTCACATGGTATCCCGTACCTTGGGATACCTTCGTCACTGCCAGGATTCTCTGCTTGCTGGAGCCCTCTCCCCAAGATGCAGGGCACCTTGCTCCCTGTGGGCCCCTCCAATCTCATGGGTGGAAGCTGTGGGCCCCCAAGCTCTGGCTCCTGCTGGGGCATTCACGCACCTGCTGGTAGAGGCGCTCCCAGCAGTCCTGCGTCATGAGGCGGAACAGAGCAAGGAAGGCCCAGGCGAAGGAATCGAAGCTAGTGTAGCCGTGGTCAGGGTTCTCACCTGCCTTGAGGCACCGGTAGCCCTCGGGGCACGTCCTGCGATTAGATAGGCCCAGCCTAGAACACATCCCTTTCTCTGGGACTCTGGGACCCCATGGCTTGGGCTGTGCCTTCCACCCAGGACACGTATACCATCTGCCAGGCACACCCCCAGCCCTGTATCATCCCCTCTACCCTACTCCCAGGCAGCTGTTTGAGCTGTTGTGGCTCTCCACAGACAGGAAGTGCAAGGTCCAAGCTTGTACCTCCTCTGCCTGTCCACCACGGGGAACTGCACCTCTTGGGCACCTGGGGGGAGGCAGTGGGGCTTGGCTAAGCTGAGCAACAGTAGGGCCATGGAGTGGAGCAGTGATCTTGGGGGATGAGGAAGGGTGAAGATGGGGGCTGGAGGTGACAGGCTTTTTTCCCTGTAATACACACACACACACACACACACACACACACACACACACACACATACACACACACACACACAGAGAACCTAAGAGCCCATGGCATAAGTGCCCTGATCCAGAGCCTGGTGGCCACAGGGCTCTGGAAGCCCACAGGGCTGTTGGACATGCCTTTGTATCACACTGAGTTTCCCACCTGCCTTTAAGGAGTCCCCGCTGCTGGGCCAGGCCTCAGCCATCCAAGAGGAAGCAAGGACGAAAGATGGGATGGAGCAGCCACGGGGAGATTCTGGGAGTTGGGAAGGTGCCAAGGTTGGGTGGGCCTCCCTGCACACCTGCTCTGTCATGACCAGTGCTTTGGAGGGCAGGGACATCAGGGAAGACCTAGTGGTCTCTGGGTCCAGGGGTGGATGGGGTCAGCACAGTGAGGAAGAGCACCTGGCTGGGTAAGGTACACTGGGTGGTGGGGCCACCTACCCAGCGTCGGAGCTATTCCCACATAGCAACACATCGGAGGTGCCATTCTTCAGCAGGTAGTTATCTGTGAAGGAGACATCCAGGGTGAGGGGTACGCCTGGCCATCTCCTGGGGGTTCCTGCCTCACCTCCGGGGCTTTAGAGACATCACTGGGAGTCTCCCCTCTTTCTGCCTGCCCGCTCTCCTCCATCTGGCCAGGCAAAGGCTACTGACACTGCTCCCCTGCTCCTTTGGACACCTGCCTCAGTCACTGACCCTCGAATGCTCAGGAGACACAGGAAGAAGCCCTGGGCAGGCTGGCTGCCGGCTGACTCTACAGGGCACCTCCCCACCCTGTTCCAATCAACAGTGGGTGTTCACTGGGATCAAGAGGTCCTGGGGGTCTGGGCAGGTGCCAGCTCACGCCGCCTAGCTCTAGACAGCTCTAGACCCGCTTAGGCTGCAGTGAATGGCAGGAGGGAATGTGTGCTAGTTACCATGGTAACAGCGGGGCCTGTTCAGATGGGTCTGGGCCAGGAGCACCCTGGACTTCAGTCTTGTTGCCCACGTGGGTCCTGAGCCTGCATCAGCAGCTTCCTGCATGTCTCCCACACCTGCTGACTCAACAACTGGGTGGGGTGAGGCCTTGGGAGCCTATGTCTCCTGGAGCCTCACAGGTGACTCTGATGCCCTCCTTGCTTTTTGACTGTGATAGAACCACAGCAGCTCGCTCACTCAGGGCCCACTTTTTAATTGAATTTTTTGCTTTCCTAAGTACAGGGTGTCTGGGAACGGCCCTCTGATGCCTGGAACCAGCTCCTGCATCAGAGTCTGCCTCTGACCTGGGCCAGAGGGGTTCAGCCTGAAAGGTGTAGACCATAGGTATGCACCATGGGGTGGGGAAGAGAGAGAGCTTAGGTGCCTGGGGCTGAGCCCGATGCTAGCCAACCAAGCTAGCTCCCCTGCAGCTCCGGGACCCTCCTTCTAAGCTGTGAGCCGGCTAAAGAAGGCCAGACTCCTCACCGTCTCTGCCACTACTGTCATCTCCGTTTCTTCTTCCTGGTCCCCAGGTGTCACCTCCAAACCTTGCCCTGGGTCCTGGAGGCCACTCTGTGCCCCTGCTGTCCAGTGTCCCCAAGCACATAGCTGAGTGTTGCCCCAGCAAGTCATCCTTGCGTCCCCACCTGGGTCGTTGAGGTAGAGGTCCAGTGAGTCCCAGACCAGGCCATCGGCGTCATTGGCCTGTATGGAGCCATTGGTGCCATTGAGCTCAGTGAAGTTGCGCACGCACTTGTGCCTCAGGTTGCCCATGAACAGCTGCAGGCCAATGAGTGCGAAGACGCTGAGGCAGAAGACGGTCAGGACCATCACGTCGGCCAGTTTCTTCACTGATTGGATCAGCGCCCCCACGATGGTCTTCAGGCCTGTGGATGGTGACAGCCAGCACGGGGTCCCCCACTGCACCATGTCCCACAGGGCCCGAGGCAGGGCACCGGGCTGTCCTGGAGGTCCTGGGTTGATCTGGGGGTGGGCAGTGAGGGGAGCTTCCTGCATCCTCTCTGTGTTGGCTACCACTGGTCTTGGGGTCTCTTTCTTCACCAAGGTCAAGCCCAGGAGACAGAATGGGTACAGGGAGGTGGGGTACCCTCTGGCTAGTCCTGAGCTGTGGCAGGCCTGGCTTTGTGGATGTAGTTCACGAAAGAGGAGATGGAGGGGGGCACTCTTAGACAACAAGGGGGGTGGAATGGGGTTTGGCCTTGACACTGACTGAGGCAGAGAGGGACAAAGCCACTAGCAGAAAGATAACCCCCTGCTCCACTGCACAGACCTTCCCCAATGGCACAAAGTGGGCTGGATCAGTGGGAGGAAATGGTATGGGGGAGCTGGGTGGTCTGGGGCTGGCAGGGCGAGGCTTGGCCATGCCCTGGTGGCTGCTGACCTCAGGGCTCAGCTTTAGCTCTGATTCTACCTTCGGGGGGAGTGCAGGGGCTCAGGAAGAGGGGCTCTGGACAGCCACTTGGCTGCTCCTCCACTTGCCTTGACCCTCTGGGACCCCAACCCCAACCCCATCCACACCATTCCCGGAAGTAGAGGGACTATGATGGGTTAGCTGCCACACACACCCACTCCCGCAGAAGCCAGCACCACACAGCAAAGACAAAGCACGTGAAGACGCCTTTTGGTCCAACCTCTGCTCTCCACCTCGAGGGCTGATGAGCTAGGAAGCTCCTCTGCCAGCAGCAGGGTCCTGCCCTCCCCACGCAGCCCACTGCAGCGGCCACATCTCAGATTAGCTGCACCCGTCCACCGTCCAGCGGTTAATGTGTTAGGAGCAGCCGCGGCTGTGGTGCCTGGGACCTGGAGGCAGCAGTGGGTGGACACGGTGGTCGGGGAGGATGGCCTCCCTACTGTGCCACATGTACCTCTGCCAACCCAGGGCTCAGGCCCTCAGCTCTCTTTGTGGTGATTGTCCTAATGGATGTTGGCAACCACCTGGGCAGAGGGTAGACCTGGCAGGGCGGGTCTGGCCTGGGTGGTGGTACAGGCAGCAGTAAGACATGTAGCTGGGTTGCAGTGGAGCCTCTAGGAGCTCCAGGGTGCATGAGTCCTGGAACAGCGTGATGGGGTGTGGACATAGTGTTACGCTCTAATGAATCCATTTAAAGGCCAACAACCATTCCCACCCCGGTCCCCTCGCAACAGGTTAACACTTCTCACAACACACTTCCCTTTTGGCAAGCACAGCTCCTGCAGAGTCACAGCAGACTTTCCGGAAGGATGCTAGGAAGAGACAGGTCCTGGAGGACCAGCAGGGAGTACCCCCTCCTGCATGGAGACTCTGCAGCAGTGGGACTGGGGTTTGAAACTAGCCATTCTGAGTCACCCCCATTTCACAGAGAAGCAGACAGAGATCCAGAGAGGGCCAAGGCTACAGGAGACTCAGTTTGGGGTGGCAGCGGCTGAGGGGGAGGTGTCTACTTCCTCCAAGGAGCCCTTTGTAATACTGGCTGTGACCACTTTTGCAGGGCTGCCAGTGAGGCTGGGTTAAGGTGGTCCCCCAGGACAAATAGGCCGCAACAGGCTTTTGCTTCACGGCCATGTCAGTGCTTTCCCACTCTGGTGGGATGTGTATCCATGAAGCTGTCCCCAGACTATATCAATGGGATGGCTGCAGGCAGTGGGCCCCTCTGGCTTGAGTTCTGGGCCACTTGTGGCAGGCACTGGCAAGATGCAATGCCCATGCACCCAGCATGGGAGCTCTGAGGCCAGGAGGGACATTCCAAGGCTTAGCCTGAACAGTGTTAATGGGGAGGCCCCTCACAAGGTCATGAGTCTGGCCGGAGGGGGGTGGGGTGGGAGGTCGGATGCTCTCGGCTGAGCTCAGAATGGGAGCTCCCAACTGCCCGGCCACAGTTACGGTGAAATGCAGGCAGGCCTCAGGTGAGGCAGCAGACTAGTAACCTCTGAGTCCTCCCTAGGCCAGCCTGCCCGCGACACCTTCGAGAAGATAAAGCACCCTCTTCAGTTTGCGACCATGGCCACCTTCAGTACAGGCACCAGAAGAGTGGGCCAGGGGAACCTTTGACCTTAAACGTGGGGGAGTTGGATGGCAGGAGACTTGGGTAGCCCTTCGAGGGTGGGTACTGTTTTGGCTGGGAGTTGCAATGAATTGGGGAGGGCAGTCTGGGAGCAGCAGGTCCCCTCCGGAGACAATTGCCAACATCTGTCAGGAGAACGTGTGCCGCAGGCGGCCATGCACCACTTGCTAACGTCTACCTTTGCACCATGCAGCAAGGGCTGTTCAACGCCAAGGCTGGGCGAGGCCTGTCCCCAGATTCCACTCCGTGTCACCAAAGGGGCACGACTCGGGAAAGAGGAGCGCTTGGTCCCAAGGGATGATGCTGGGGTACCAGACTGGTATGCTTTTCATTTGGAGCCTTACAAAAGGTGTTGCTGGCTTTTAGCAATTGAAATTGCCGGTTTCTGTTTGGAAAGAAAATTTCCTGTATCCTGGGAAGAATTCACAGGCCCAGCTGTGGGGCACTTAGTGCCACCCTGCTCCCCGAAAATGGAAGGAAGTCGCTGGGAGGGGTTGCTGCTGCTGGAGTGGGCAGCCTAAAGCCCATTGTCAAGCCCCGGGACGCCCACTGTCAGCAGCTCTGGTGACAGGCAAGGGCGCAGGGGCCTTCCCCGGCTGGCCATGGGACCTCCGGTGGCCAGAGCAAGGAAGTCCCCAGCGTGCGTGTGCACCACCAGCCTTGGCGTTTGGCCTGATCTTCACCTGAAATGACTGATATAGTTTTCAGGGCCCGCAGGACTCGGAAGGTGCGTAGGGCCGAGACATTGCCCAGGTCCACAAATTCAGTTGTGTATCTGTAACAAGGGAGAGTCACACACGAGACAGTGACGACACGCCAGGAGGAGACACACGGGCAGAGGAGGACGGGTGGGAGAGAGAGAGTCACTTGGAGCGGAGATCTGACAGGCGGACTGCGCTTCTTACCTGGAATAACTGAAATAGTTTTTAGAGCCCTCAGGACTCTGAAAGTTCGAAGAGCCGACAAATTGCCTAGCTTTATATTTTCTGATACATACCTGCAGAATCAAACCACAGTTATGGGGAATTACCAAGCGGAACCTCAGCCTGCCAGCCCTGCCCCTCCCTCAGCAGGTCCCACCCTTCCTGCAGTAGGCCTGTGGGTGGCCCCGGGGAGGCATCGGCATGTAGGTTGTCTATATGACTTGCTCCCTGGCCCACAGTTCCAACTCGGCCACACTCTGCACAGCCGTGACTGAGGTCAAGTAGGAGCGCCAAGTAGGAGCCTCAGGCCGGCTGGCACAGGAACACGGGGGATTCCAGGGCCAGTTTTGTGGTCTGTGAGCCGCATGGGCCTGGGTGCTCCTCTCCTGGCCTCCCAAGGGTGCCTGCCCCCTTATGTCCTGCCACTTTCTCTAGGCACTGGCTGGCCCAAGAAGGGAAGGAGATGAGAAGATGGTGGGAGTCGGGGGGCTTGGGGTGCCCTCAACCATGGCATCTTCCAGGGATGAGTTTGGGGGTGAGCAGCTGTGTCCTGCCCAGGGCTGAGTGAGTACCCTCTATGGGAAGAGGAGGAGGGACTTGGGTCCCTGCTCCCTGGGGGTGGGGCAGGGACCTGACTAAGCCAGCTGTGAGAACACACGGTGGCAGGGCCACAGGACCACAAGGATGTGCTAGAGGTTCCCAGGGTCACAACAAGTAACTTGCGATATTTAACGAAGGACTTGTCTGATGCTTAGCTACGGGTGTTCCATGCTCCAAAAAGGACAGCAGACTCAATGCTCTGAGTGGATCATGGCACTGGATAAGTGCTCTAAGTGGGGTCCATAGCAGCTGGGGGCTGGAAGGCTGGGCTGGTACCAAAGCCAGGCATCCTGGCACCCACTGCTCAGAGCCTCTGCAAAGCCCTGGGAAGGCTGGGCCAAGGGATCCAATGTCCTGGGGTTAGCAGGTCAGTCTGATCCAGCTCTGGCCAGGTCCACTCAAGGGATGCTTCTGGCTTCACGAGGTGCTGAGGCTGCAAATGCTTGTCCCTTTCCTCCCACATCCCTGCAGAGCTGGGAAGTTGGTGCTGGATTCTCAGAGCTTCCTCCTCTGTCCTCAGGGTAGCCCCCAAATCGTACTCTCTCTTACACATGCACACAGCCACATCACCCACTGGGGAGTAAAAGTCACCTCTCCAGTTCTGACCCATATACACCTGTTCATATGATCCTGGTTCCCAGCTATTCTGCCTCCTTGGCCACTGGGGCCAAGCACAGGGAAGCCAGGATTGCAGGATGACAGACAGGATGGTAACAGAACAGGGAGGAGCAGCTGGGAACAAAGTGGGGGCTGATGTGAGTGTGTGTGAGCTAGAGGAGGACTCGAGGGAGGGAGCAGCCAGGTAAGGCACGGTGTCATCAGGACACCCCACATAGAGCATCTGCCAGGACCCCTGAGTATGGCGAGGCAGAAGAGACCCCAGGCAAGGTGCAAGGCCAGCCTTGGGTGCCATGGAGCTTGTAGGGTGCTGTCTGTCTAGGCTGGCAGAGGCCTCCTGCAAGCCAGGCTCCTCTGGCTGTGGCAGAGAGCTGGGGTGAATGCCTAGGCCCAGTCCTGAGTGAGCAGAGGGTCGGGGGCAGGAATCCCACTCCAGTACAAGGAGGTGTCCTGGGTGTAGGGGCCAAGCTCGCCTCTTGGCTGCCCCAGCCCTGTCTTCAGATGGCAACGGCTGCCCCTCCTCTCGGCCCGCCCTCTCTTCCTTGCCAGGCTTGGTTTCCATAACAACCCCAGAAGGTGGGAGGCTGTACTGACTGGCAGGTAATGCCCAGCTGGGAAGAGAGGTGCGCAGGTTGAACCGGGCAGGCCTGGTGACACCCTCCTGTCCACCCCCGCTCTCCCTCAGCCTTTGAGTCTCTGCACTGGGTAGGAGGGATGGGGTGGCAGGTGGAAGCCCAAGCACATAATGCCAAGTGGTCCCAGCACCACTGCCCATGCCTTCCACAACTGGGGCAAGCGGTAGGCTCCCCATTAACTTTAGGTTCCTGTCTGTATAACAGGGACTTTCAATGAAGGGGAGGCCTGCATGGTGAGACTGTTTCATTTGCTATGGGGACCTGGCTTTCCCAGAGCAGAGTCATTTGTGATCCCTGGCTTTTAGTGCCCAGCACAGGAGCGTGTACACCGCACCCGCTGTGTCTGATTGAGCAGAAGGAGCTATTTCCAAGCAGCTCTGGGGTAGGGGGGTGGGAACTACACTGGGGTTCTCCCAGTCTGGGAGACAGGACAACAGGCCTGAGGCCAGCTGAGCATGGGTTGGGAGTGTCTGTGATGACAGTTGTCGCTCATCCTGCAGGACAGGGAGGGAAGGAGGGCAGGGCTTGCAGCCCCTCCCCCACGGGCAGGGAGATGCCATTCCACTGCCAAGTCTCCCTGTCTCCCAGGCCACACACGTGCCTCTCCACCCTGTGCGCTCTCGGCTGATGATCCTGCTTCTTACTTCACAGAGAAAATAGACGCAATCAGAAGAGAAAAAGCCTCCTCCACTCATCAGCTCTCCCAATCCACCGGAGAGTGCCTTCCTGCTCTGAAGGTCACTGCCGCCGCGCCCCGCCCACCTCATCAGTGTCCTGGCTGCTGCATCTCTTCCCTGGCCTGCACACACACCAGACCCGTCCACCCCCTGCTCTTTCTCGAACCCTCTGGCTTGCAGGCACCTCTCTAGCCAAGGATGCCTGTGACCTTTGTGATCGCCACTGCCCTTGGGTTCAAGTTCAATCGCATTCCTCCTTAGGTTTTGGGGGAAGCCATTTCTTGGGTAGCTCCCTCTGGGGTTCCTCCCCACCCCCACCCCCACCCGCTTCGCACCCTGTGCCTTCCTGACTTCAGGATGGAGGAGGGGCTGACCGACACCAGAGTGCATCGCTGCTGTCCCCTGCATCCCCATGTCTACCTGGACTTGTCTCCCACACACCAGGCTGCACTGCCACCTGCCTGCTGCAGGGTCCCAGGCTGATGTTTGCACCTCAAGCCCATTCCAGAGCAGGCCCCTTTCGCTCCCTTCCTCCCTCTGGCTCTCCAAGTTCACAGCTGGCAACACCATGCCCCCAACCCCATCCCCCAACGGGGTCTCCTGGGAGCCCTGCCTGCTAAATAAAGCTTCTCAGTTGGGATCTGCCCAGCTCTCCAGCACCGCCTCCCTCCTCTTCCCCTCTGCGCTGGCACCTTCTCTGGGCTATCAGAGGGGCCTCCTTGCTGCCCAGGCCCCTCTCTACCCCCTGCCCACCTCAGTGTTTCTCCCCCAAGTGGTTGCCATCTTCTCCTCTAGCACTGTTGGATGGGAGACAGAGGCCTGGTCTCGCTGAGCCTCGGGGTTCCCACCTATAACACGGAGCCCACTGCTAGCACACCTAGACAGGTGTTCTTCCAGGAGAGAGGCCAGCTTGGGTTGGGAGTGTCAGCCGTGATGGCTATCACACTGAAGGAGGGTGGGGGGAGGACAGGATCACTGCCTCCCACTTCCCCAGCAGTCTGTCTCTCAAGCCTGGTTGAGCTCAGCGCTGCGCTTGTCTGGAGTTGCAAACAGGGGGATTTGGGGAGCCCAGGAAGCCCAGAGTGTGGGGCCGGAGTGAGCTTCCGATGCTGTTGAGCCCACCGGTGTGTCCCTGCCCAGTGAGGGAAAGCTGAGGGTTTGCAGAGGCAAGGAGTCCTGGCCTTGTCCTCTCTGCTTCCTGCCGAGGTTCCCTGGGGCCCTGTGCAAGCAGGCAAGCTGCTGCGCCAATGTGTGCTTCCTGGGACATCCAGGGAGTAGGTGGCTCCCGGGCAAGCAGCTGTCCCTGGGGTCACACAGTCCAGGCTGAAGCAAGCCTAAGCATCACTCCCCTCACCTGTGCACTGGGGCTGAGTCCCTCCATCGAGCCGACATCACTGCATCAAGATAAGTGCTTTCAAACGGGCCCAAGGTGGAGTCCACAAGCACAGACGCAGAGGGGGCCTGGCCCAAGCACCCGGGGGTGAGGCAGTTCTGCCCAGCTATGCCCTCATCGCTGCAACATCCTCCCCACTGTGCCAGGGACTGGGGCTGCAATGCCAGCTTTTCTTGGTGGCAAGGGCAGAGGATGCCAGGTTAGAACCTGAGCCACATCCCCAGAGCACGGTGGCTGCCATGGAATCCAGGGAGCCAGGGGATCCAGCCGCTGTGCCCATGGCTCCCCACCCAGTCTTCCTCCCGCCTGAAAAAGAGGTGCCAGGAAGGCTGGGGCAGCACGCTAGGTACTTACGCCATGACAATCACGCTGAAGTCCAGCCAGTTCCATGGGTCTCGTAGGAAGGTAAACGCGTGCAGGCAGAAGCCTCGGGCCAGGATCTTGACCAGGGACTCAAAGGTGTAAATGGCTGTGAAGGTGTACCTGAATGGGTGAGGCCGGCACAGTCCCTCAGGGAGCTGGCAGCCTGCTGCAGCCCATGTTCGGCCAGGCTGAGGGCTGGAGTTCTATGCTGGCACCCGGTGCGCCTTCCTGGTTGCTGTCCCGGCATTACCGGGAGCCCGCCCTGTGTTCAGTATCTCTCCCTACCTGTCCACCTCCCTCCCCAGGGGGCTGCCTGTGTGTGCAGATTGTGGTGGGCAGCCGCTGGGCTTTCCATGGAAGAAAAAGGACGGGCAGCCCCACTGTCCCACCTGCGTGTGTGTGTGTGTGTGTGTGTCTGTGTGTGTGGCTGCGGGGGGGCGGGATTCCTCAGAGGCTAGCAGTGGACACATTGTACAGCCTCAATCTATCGTAAGGTAGGAAGGCACAGCTCTACATGTGCTGGGGGTTTGAGAGGAAGGGGTGGGCAGCTGGATGCCGACACTGTAGCCCACAGGGCTGGGAGAGGGGACATCACCAGGGTGACCCCAGACAAGCATGGGAGCCCACCCATGGCTGTAATCATAGTTCTGCCATCTGCTGCCAGGTACACCTGTCCAGGTTGCCTAGGACCTACGGGCCGGGGGCAATTCTTTAAAACTACACAATGTCTCTAGAATGTGGGACCTGATAAACAGACAGCAAAGTGTGCTGGTGGCCTGGGGACAGCCACTGGCTGTAACACCACAGGTCACTTCCATCCAGTGGGGCTGGCAGGCTGTTTAGCACCCTACCAGGTTGCCATGAGGGGCACAGGAGTTGCAGCCATGGCTCTCGGGATGGGGCCTGGTGAGCAGCAAGGGCTCTAGCAGGTACTCCTCCTCCCATCTCAGCACCTGCTGCTTTGACATCACCATCCTCTTCAGGGGACAACCAGGGAGCTCCATCCGGGATGCGCGCAGATACTTACTCGACATACTTGGTCCAGGGCGGGGGGTCGTGCTGGGCCATGAACACGCAGTTGGTCAGGATGGTACACATGATGAGCAGGCTGAAGAGGGTGTGTCCGTTAAAGAAAAGTCCAGGGTGGCCAGCAGGCACCAAACCACTCTTCTGGCGGGATGCACCGTGGGATCTGCTGTTGCTTTGAGCAGGCCAGGGGCGGCCCCACCTTCCCAGAGAAGAGGACTCAGACTCCACGGTCACATGAGAGGGAGATGGAGATCCTATTGGTGCTGGGGGACTTTCTGCCTGTCCCATCTCTGCAGTGTGTGCAGGGGGAAGGCAGAGGGCTACTTCTCCACTGCATGCCACCTCTGCCTCCTTCATTTTGATCCCAGTGTCACCAAGTAATATCCAAAAGAGGAGCACCCACCCTGCCTACCTACCAGGACTCCTTTGCGCCCCCAGGGCATTGGGTGATCCCCCATCCCCGGCAGGGCTGCCGGGGTCGGGTGACATCCCTCTGTCACCCTGTCTGAAGGGAGCACCTTAAATGCTGGGACACATTTGTGAGCGCTGTCTTACCCCACCTGGGTCCAACAGGTGCTAACTGCTACCTTCTCCTGCCAGACAAGAGACTCACCAAGCACCTCTGCCCCCTCTCTCACTCTGGCCAGTACCCTCCCCGGCCCCAACAGTTGCAATAACTGGGCCCCAGGGGTTCCAACCCCCTCCTGGCTGAGAGGGGTGCCAGGCTGTCCCAGTGGCCCATGGGGAGACTCCTCAATGCTACTCTTCCTTCTCTTAGGGTGCCTAGTAACTTGAAGAGGCCCACTGGTCTGCCCACCTCAGCTCAGCCACCAGTACACTATCAGACCTCCTGCCTCCCCAGGACATCTCCCTCCCACACCCACCCAGAGCTTCTGCCCAGGCATTCCTGACAGGGTGGACAATTCACGGGCCACTCAGATCCATTGCTAGATCCTCTTCCGGGGCTGCCTGCTGAGTCCCGACATAGCAGGGCACTGGGCTGAGTCCAGCTGCCCAGCAGGTTCTGCTTGGTGTCTGTGACCCGATTCAGATTCCACTACATAGAGAAGACTGAGGCCCAGCAGAAGGCTGCTATAATGGCCAGAACAAGGCTCCCCATAGGCCCACATGCAAACCCCCATAAAGTGGAAAGACACGCTTGCTGAGAGAACCATCCTGGAGCTGTGGCCTCCAGAGCCGTGAGATGACAATGCATGCAGTTTGCTGCAGGGCTCACAGGAAGCTTTGCTCTGAGTCTGTCATATGGCTCTGTGCCCCACACCTGCCTGGCACGAGTCAGAATGAAGACTGAGCGTGGCCAAGGCCCCACTAAGTGAGGAGAATGCCAAGTGGCAGGAGGGATGAGACTGGCACGTTTTACAGTGGGCCTCATGTAAGCTTAAGTGGGAACCACTTCCCAGGAATATGGGGAGGAGGATGGCAGGAGGGCTTCCTGGAGGAGGCATTTACACAGGTAGCCATCTCTGCCAGGGACTCCACCCATAGCCATGCAACCCAGTGGGGGCAGGGCTGAGGACTCATAGACCTCTGCCTGGGCAGCCCTGGGTGGATGGATGGCTTCCCTCTGTCCCACAGCAGGTGCGGTCTGCCTGGGCACTGACTTTTCCAGACCTAGCAATGGCTTAGGGCGAGATGCTGCAGCCTCTTATCTGTCACCTGCTTGCTCGAAATCCTTGCTTGGTTCCAGTGGTCTGTGCGCGCCTGTGTACATCGTGTCCTCGCACCCAGAACAAGTGTCTCTGTCCCAGGTATCCCGAGCACCCTCTCCGAGCCCAGACAGTCGAGTCAGCTGACCTCCTAATCAGGGTCCATGGGCCTGATGCTTACAGATGGATGAATGAGCTGGGCCTCTGAGTGGGCAGGGAGCAGCCAGAGCTTTAACGTGCATCTCCCATCTGGTCCTGAGCGCCCACTCCCACTGCCACTCACAGGGGCCACGGGCAATCTCACCAGCCTGGGCTGCTCAAGCAGATCACAGAAAATGCAAAAACTTACCATGGGGGCATACTGTCATGTGTATGTGTGTGCATGCTGTTAAAAATGGACATGTTGGGCCCAGTGCAATGGCTCAGTTGGCTAATCCTCTCCTTGCACTGGGATGCCATGTGGGCACTAGTTTGTATCCTTGCTGTTCCACTTTCCATCCAGCTCCCTGCTTGTGGCCTGGAAAAGCAGCCGAGGATGGTTCAAGGCCTCGGGACCCTGCACATGCATGGGAGATCCAGAAGAAGCTCCTGGCTTTGGATCAGTTCAGCCCCAGCCACTGTGGTCACTTGGGGAGTGAACCAGAGGATGGAAGATAATTTTCCTCTCTCTTCTTTTCTCCATAAAATTTGATCTGCCTTTCCAATAAATCTAAAAATTAAAAATAAAAGTGAACATGCTGAGGCTCATGCATGCATATGCGTGTGCACACACGTGCCATTCTGGCTGCCCGTTCGATTCCTGGTGAAGACAGGGGAGGATTTTTATGAATAGACCCTGCACACCCAAGGTGGCCCGCGTGCTCCTTGGTGCGAGCACAAAGCTTTTGTGAATGTGCGCTTGATTTGGGAGCTGAGTTGCTTTCTTTCCCCGAGTGCTGGTGGGAAGGCCTTCTGCAGGAATCCCACCAGAACGCACAGCAAAAAAGCAATCCCACATGACCGTATTCAGCAACTTCTCAAAGGCGTGCACGGCAGGGCTGCGGGGACCTGGAGAGCAGCTGCGGTCAGGTCCCGAGTACCGTGTCACTTGGGCTGGCTCCAAGCGGCTAAGCTTCCTCACTGGGCTACACTGTGCCCTCCAAAGTGTCTCTCTGTCCTGTGGCCTTCCTCCCCCCCAGTGAGCCGGCACAGACCTCAGCCAGGGAAGGTATGCGGCGACCAGCTGAAACCGAGGCTGATCTTCCACGGGGAGTGCGCATGATTGCTAATGGGTCCAGGGACTGTTTTTGGGGTAATGAGTAGGTTCTGGAAGTGGATGGCAGTGATGGCTGCAGAACCCACAAGTATGCTAAAAGCCATCTATCTGATCGTGTGCTTTGGAACGATCAGCTCTGTGGTAGGTAAAGTACGGCTCAGTTGAACAGAAACGTGTGTGGAGCCTGGAGATTCCCAGGCTGTTTGCTGATGGTTTTGGCTTGCCCAGCGGGACCGTGCACTAGAAACAGACCCCGCCCTCCCAAGGCTGCAATGCCTCCACCTCGTAGCACAGCATGGGTTTGGAGATGGGCTGCTCCACTTCCCACCCAGCTCCCTGCTGACGCTCCTAGGAAAGCAGTGTAAGATGGCCCAAGATGGCTGCCACCCACGTGGAAGACCAGGATGGAAGTGTTGGCTCCTGGCCTTGATCTGGCCCAGCCCTGGCTGTTGTGGCCATTTGCAGAGTGAATACGTGTGTGTGTGTGTGTGTGTGTGGTATGTATGAAGCTGCTTTTCAAATCAATCAATCTTAAAAGCCACAGACCTCCTGGTCGAGACCCAACTGACCCTCACGCACTGGTATTTAAAACAACTGTCCCAGGGTCATGTGCATGGGGGGGTGTGGAGGACTTGGTGGACACACGGTTTTTGGGGGCTGCGGCCCTAGATTTGGTGAATGCCACAGGTCCTGGTGTTGCTGATACTACTGGTCCTCACGGCACATTCCCAATGCAAATCTCTAGCTCCCCAAACCCCATCAACTAAAGCTCCTCTTCCCTTCAATGCCCACTCAGCCCACCAGGTGGCGCCGCCAAGGGCCAGCACAGTGCTCCTGTCCCAGGTGTCCAGGCAGCAGTCAGGAGGAGCTAGGGCCTCAGGGATGCTGAGCAACAGCCCTGGGGATGGGGGCGGGGTGCACATAGGCCAGCTCTAAGCCGGGCCTGCCAGGTGGCACCAGCCCCTCACCAGCCTGAGCGACACTGCCCAATGGAGCTCCTGCCAGGCCGGGTACCCCTGTGGGCCCCCACTGCCCCCTTGGCCCATCTTCCCCTCCCCTCTCCATCTCTCATCTGCTCACATTGCAAAGCCCAGCACCTGGCAGGAGCTCTGGGGCGGCTGCTGCTGCCTCCCTGGGGCCCTCTGCAGCTGCCAAACAGGGCTAGGTTGGTTAGATACCTGGCAGAGAAGCCCCAGGTGAGAGCACCGGGAGGCTGGCAGGGAGGCCACACCCACAGAGTGTGGCCGCAGCCAGGCCTGGAATGGAACATGCTTGTCTCTTCTCCTCCCGACCACAGCCTGTTGATGCTACAGCCACTGCCTGCCCTGAAGGCCCTCCCTGGACACAAGCATGTCTCAGGAACCCGATGAAAAAAGCTGGAGTGAGCTGGAGGAGAGGAGGGGGCAGGCACATGGCTACACCTCACTGTGTAGCCCCACACCCATCAGCAATCAGGTGTGGGGCACAGGTGAAATAGCGCTGCCCCAGCTCCTACCTGGGGGAGGTTCCTCCCAGGCCCAGCGCCACCAGCCAGGCCTCTGCGGCACTGTGCAGCGTTCCTGCAGCTCCTCCGTGTGGACCAAGCTTTCTCAGCCTAAGGTTAACGTCACTCTCCTAACCAGAGTCCTCTGAGATGCTGTCAGATAGCAAATATTGTCAATTCCTCGTCGGCGAGCAAGCAATGCCCACCCACGCGTGGGACGACCAGTTTTCCTCGGCTTTGCCTCTGTCACCTGCCTGAACGTCCCTGTGGGTGGAGGGACACAGCCAGGTCCCGCTGCCTCCCTCCTCCCAATTCCTGAGCGTCCAGGGCATCCCAGGTCCCGGATCCTGTCTGCTGGCAGCTACTGGGGGAGACAGCGAGCAGAGGACCCACTGCAAAGGATATGAATGAACCAGGACCTTCACGGCTGCTCGGCGGATGGGGTGGAAGGGGCTAAGGATGTACAGGGCATTGGTGGCGCTGAAGCGGAAGATGGTCTTGCCCTTGTTGAGCACGATGAAGGTCTGTGGGTAGAAGCCCACATGGGGGTCAGAGGGGACTGTGGCAAGTCCCCCGGGCCCCTCTGGGCAGAGGCTTTGGAGGGGAGGGGGCAGTGTGTGCAGATCACACATCTGGGCTCCTGGGTGAGGAGGGGGAGAGGAGAAAAGAGGCTGTGGGGACGAACTGGCCAGATACGCCAAGAGCAGAAATCATGGTGCTGAATCTACGACCTCCAGCGGGATGAACAAGAGTGCAGGCATCATGGATTGGCAATGGCAGACAGAGCTGGCATGAAGTCAACACGGGGACAGGGCAATGGCTCCTATGCTCCTCCAAGGCTCCACTGCTACAAGCCCCCCAGGAGCCCACACCCGTTCTGACCTCAGCCCCTGGCTTGTCCTAGCTGACTCCAGCCACGAGGCCTCTCTCAGCAACCAACACCTAACCTAGTCCACCTTCCAGCCAACTACGTCACCCCAGCCCAGACCTCGCGTTGGCACTAATTCTTACTTCTGGCTCAGGTCACTGGTGACCTGGGTCTACCTCCTCCACCCCTTCCTGCCAGCCCAGCTCAGACACCACCATGGATACAGCTATTGGACTTGAACCGAGAGGGTGTCCAGTCAGCAGTCTGGGGGCAGGATCAGATCCCAGGTCCCTTACTTTATCTGCACAGCTGTCTTGCCCTTGTTACCATGGCCACTCCACGCATGTGTGAACACACAGCTGGAAGAGACACCTGTGCACACCTTCAGGCTCCGGGTCTCCTTTGGGTCTCCCTCCAGCCCAATACACAGAAACATCCATCAGCTACCTGGAGTTCACTCTCCCCTGCCTGCTCCTAACTCCCGGCAGCCACCGTCTTTCCTGTCCCTAGCCTCTTGGGACCCTCCACCCCCGCCATTCAAACCTTGCTTCATCCAGCAGTGCGTCCTCCAATGTGGGCAGCAACCTTGGGGCAGGGGCCCAAGATGGGAGGAGGCCAAAGCAGGGGATCCAGAGAGGGCAGTTTCCTTCCTGGGTGGGCTGGTCCCACTGCTTTCAGATGGCCTGCCAGCCAAGCAGTGTCTCATTGCTGACCCCACAGGGCCCAGGGGGCTGCTGCCATGGCCAGCAGCCAATACCTGGTGGATTATCTGTGCTGCTCGGGGGCTGAGTTGTGGAGTCTCACACTTTCCCAGCTAAGAAGGGACTGGGCTGCCTATTACGCACAGGTGTGGGATGGACAATCAGCTACATCAATTCCTCCCTGAGGTCAAGCTGACTTCCCAGACACTGAACCCCACAAACAAGAGGTCTCCACTCACTCCTCCCCCAGAGCCCAGGGACCGAGCCCATCTCCCCCACCTTCCCAGCCCCCAGCATGGGGAGGCAACTGTCACCTTCTGGGTGCTGTAGAATGGGTCCAGGTCCTCCAGGGGTTCCCCAATGAGCTCTCGGGGTGGGTTGCCATACAGGTCAGGTAGCTTCTTGGAGGCCTGCAGGTCCAGCTGGGGCCGGGGCACAGCCTCCTCCTGGGGCAGCCCCTCACGGCTCTCCTGCAGGGTGGCCGAGCCTCGGGCCTGCTTCTCCGCCATGCGCTTCTCGATGGCCGCCAGGGACTCCCGGGTGAACCTGCGGAAGCTGCCGGGGCCCCGAGGTAACAGCAAGTTTGCCATCTTCTCATCCTGCCTCTGGGGCCTGGGCTGTCCTCACGCTGCCCGTGGGATGGGGGTGGAGGGGCAGATGCTGCAAGACACAGACGAGGGCCTGCGGTAAGGGGCAGTGGTGGCGGCACTGCAGTGGGCACAGGTGCTCGAGGGCCCAGGCTGCCAACGTGGTCTCCCTGGCAGTGGCATAGGCGGACAGTTTCCTTCTGTCTCGAAGCAGGGGCTGAAAGCACCAAGTCATCCAGGGTTCTGGCCTATTTCACACAAAGACAGCAAGTGTATCTGTGGCCCCTGAGCTGCCCTTCCTCAGGGCTCGCCCTGGGCAGGGTGGGGAGCTGCCCCCTGTGCCTGCCTGGCACAGTGCCCAGACCCCCCAGGGTGACTTAGGGGGCCTTTGTGGACATGGCACTTGCATTTGCCATAGGAGACTCAGTTGGTCCTGTGGACTCTCGAAGATGGCCGGGTGACACCTGTGGGACTGCCCCCTGGGGAGCACACGTGTCCCCCCGCACACTCCAGGTCAAAGGCTGGGTGCCACCTTTCACCCCCTCCTTGATGTGAGCAGAGGAATGCGGTCCTAAGCGACAGCCGAGCTGGGCACTGCGGCCACTCAGCGAGGACATCCAGCCGTCACGGGTGTGTGATGCCAAAGTGGGAGAATGTGGCCCCTGCCGGCCTCACATGATTCAGAACCTGGTGCAAACACGATGCCCATGACACCCAAGCGGAAGAATGTACTCCTGACTGCCTCCCCAAACAGGATGCGGTCAGCCCGGCTCCTGACCGTGGCACCAAGCCCGGGGGTGGGTTGGGGAAGGGGGGCGGTAGCTATGCCTCTAATGGCCAGAGCAAAACCCAGGGCAGCGGCACCAGTTCAAGAGGGCAGGAAGGACACCAGCCTGAGGTTCCCTTCCCCCGCTCTGTTCCACCAAGGGACAGCCTTGTCCCGAGTTCACTCCTGCAAAAGCAGGCCACCGGGTGACCGCACACACCCCTGCCCACGGCGCATCCAAGGCTTGGACTTGAGGGCCACAACGCCGGGGCCCCGTGGGTGGCTGTGACGCAGGCACCCGGCCAAGCGGCAGGTAAACAGCGAGCAAACACAACACACAGGCAGGCCTCATAAGGGCACCTGTGGCCCCCAGGGAGGAGGTGGGGGGAGGAGACGGGAAGACAGTGGTCCAGGGCCCGGCTGGAGCAGCCAGCCTGTACTCGGAGCCTTTTCCCTGCTGCATTCAAGTTGAATCAAAGGCACATCGTTGTTAAAAATAGCAGGTGAGTAGGTTCCCTTCTTGCCGAAGGGTTTCCTTGTCTGCCTTCCATCTCTGCCTGTACAGATGCAGCTGCAGCTCATCCTCACCTGTGAGTGGCATCTTTTTTTTTTTTTTTTTTTTCCCCACTTAGCTGTTGGAAATTCGGGTAATTTTAAACTTTTTGTACTTTCTTGCTTTGACGGAATCCTCGTTGCGGTATTTTGACAGAAACAGTAAGTGCCTTGATGCCAACGAGAAGGAAGGTGGCTTGGGTGACAGCAGCCCCCTGCAGGGTGGTCCTCTCTCCCCATGGGCAATCACCAGCAAACCAGGCTTTGGGCTTGGCGCTATTTCCTGCTAAGTCTGATTTTTTTTTTTTTAATCTCGCTGTGCCCATCTGTGTCAGTGTGCGTGCCTGCGAGGATGCCAGGAGATGTGTGGCTGCCAGAGGAGCTGCCGAGGCCCCTGTCAGCAGGAGCTTCACCTGCACGGGCAGATGAAGGTGTGTTCGCAGTTTCTATGGAAATAAACAATGTTTGTAGGTAGACGCACACGGGTGCATCATAGCCCCAGACTGAACACACCTGGGAACCAGCACCCCCAAGACCCTGATTGCTTGCTTGCAGCCCCCCAGTTTGGGGTCTGCTCCTCAGCTAAGGGCTACAACTACCCTGACTACTGACTGTGGTGCAGAGGCTGGGAGCAGGACACCAGACTGATGCCAACCCAGCACGTCCTGCCACCACAGACGCAGGTGGCAACACGGAAGCGTATGTGTGTCACTGCACGCACAGGAAGCAGTGAGACCCCACCTCCCAGTTCCATCACACATCCCACAGGATGGGGGCTCACTGCTGCTTTTAGATTTAATTCAGAGGGGTTTCAAGGCAGCACGCACATCACTGCAAAATCAACTTGAGGGTTCTCACAGCTGGATCTCCACGGATGGGCTTCTTAACGTGATTCTGAGGTCAGATTCAGCCTGACCTGGGAAGATCCTCCTTTGCTCCTGTTCAGTGAGGACGGTGAATGGCGTAGCTCTCAGGGAGCTCTGGGGTCCTCTGGTGCTGTCCCGGGGTCCCCCCACACTGCGGGCTCTACAGGCTTTCCTGGGAAGTCCTGGCTGTTCCTCCAGCTGTGGGCCTGACACCTTCTATTCTGTTCCTGCTGTGGCCAGGTGGAAGAGGCCAGGCCTGAGGCCCTGGGTGAGGGCCCGGGCAGACTTTATATATCCACATCCAGGCAGAAGGATACGCCACCAGGAGCTTCTGAAACCAGACTCCAGATGAGGCTCCAGGCAGCCTCAGGTTCCAAAGCAAACCACCTTTGTCTCTGGGCCCAGGGTTGGGCAGGATCTGTTTTCTCCCTTGTTCTTACTGCCTGCACCTGGCTCCAGCCTGGCCCTCTGGCTCCACCCTCTACCCCCGCCGTGCTCCAGGTGAGGAGCCAGCGACCCCAAGGAGGGTTGGAGTCTGAGATCTCCAGCATCTACCATTGACCACTGACCACTGACCCAGGCCAGCTGTCTGGTTGGCTTTTCCATGAACACCAGCTTCTCCCAGCTGACCATGCTCTCTGGGCCATTCTCCCCCGTCCCTGTAGTTACACTCTAGGGACCCCTCAATGCACTCTGTCCCAGGACACTGGACTTACTGTCCTTCCTCCCCAAGTCCCATGGCGGTAACAAACCACGCCTCCTCCTTTCCAACCAGGTTCTTCTGTCATCCTTCTGATCAGCTCCCCTCCCCCACACCACACCTGAGCTCCGCGGCAATGGGACCTTCCCCATCACCGAGATCTGCGGGCCGGCAGAGTTCCACCTGTTCTCCTTTGCCCCACCTTGCCTTCTCCAGGACACCCTGCCTGCCTGCCTATTCCGCCCACACTGACCTCTGGGTAGCCACACCCGGCCTTTGCTTGCTCCTGGTCTTGGCTGGTCACCCACTGTCCCTAGAGATGTCTGGTCTCCCCAGACAGACTGGCCACCTTATCTTGACACGGGGATGCATGGGTGCCCCTCTTCTGGGTATCCACACGAGGACAGAGGTACTCTCAATCCTTCCTGGGCAGGGTGCGGGGACCTGGAATACCATACCTGGCAGCCCAGGGTGCTGGCCCATGATGATACAGATGCAAAGTGGTAGCACTCCAGCCCTGCATCTACGCTACTGCTCCATCCCCAGCAAGCCAGTACTCAGGTTTCCCGGCTCTTCCCGGCAGCTCCTGCCCCTCCCAGTTGGGATCGCAATGGCAGGCTTACGCTGGCCCGCAGCTCAGTGTCCTGAGTCACGTCTGTCTGGCATTCTGGTTGCCTTGGCATTGCAGCCTCTGGTGCACAATAGGCAAAGAGTATCCTCTGCCATGTAAATTTATGCAAAGCAATGGTGGAAGTGGCTCCCAGGCTTCCGGAGGAAGTCTCTGGCAGCTTCCTCCGCTTCGCATGCTTCTCCATGTCCAGTAGCCTCAAATGGGAGGGTGCACCTGTGCCTGGCTCTGGGGGACACTCCCCTTCTGCCTGCCTCCCCCTCCTAAAGAAGAGGCTGACGGGGAGGGTGTGAGGGTCCTCGCTCCCCCAGGGCTCCCTGGGCACAGCCACACACGTGCACAGGGCTCCGTTCTCTGCTCAGACTCAAGGCGGCTTCCGGGGGCACCTGCAGGGAAGACAGGTGTCCCTGCACAGATACACTTGGTACAGCAGAGCAAGAGCAGCAGCGGCCAGAACATCGCTCCACCATCCACAGGCGCCCAAACTCACTGTGGGCCTGAGTGAGGCGAGGCCGGGACCCCCTCTCACTCAGAGCCCCATGGCCTGTGATGCCCTCATGAGGACCCGAAGCCCACCTGTGAAGGCAGGACACACTTCTTCCTTGAGGGGGCCATGATAACTGATGATCCCTTTGACTCATGTAGCTGGGAAACGACAGTCAGCATTTCATTAGCACCCACTGCGCCCACAGTCCTACAAGTGACTCCACAGAACACCCTACCTCCCACACAAGGGGGTTCCAAGTTGGCAGGTGATGACAGATGCATGCCTAAGTGCCACTGCACAGATTCTAACCACGGTGGTGGCCGGCATGGAACATTCCTGCTCAGAACTGCTCAGACTGGCAATCAGCCAATACAATGGGCCAGAGAACCTGCACCCACACCCACCCTGGCCTCCACTCCCCTTGTGAGGACCTACCCCCCTCCACACCTCTATCTTTGGGCTAGGGAGGGAGCTAGCCTATGTACTGGAATCCAGCTCACTTGTGTGGTCCTGTGCCCCAGCCATGTACCAGCGGGCCAATGAATTCAAGTTTTCTGTTCAATTAAACTGATAACCATCCTTGTGCCACGGGAACATATGTGTGTCGGTAGCTCTACATGCTGGGCACACAGACCGGGGCTCTCAGGCTCAGCCCCTGCCACCTCTGGGGTTACCATACCTTCCTTGTTGGTCTCCTAAGAGGACTCAGTAGGGGCCTGTCCTTCTAGCACACAGCATGTGTCACGCCCAGCGGGCTGTGCCCTGCTCAGTGACCCTGGCACCACTTGCCTCATCACAGGTACAAAACTCTTCTTCCACATGCACATGGGTTTTCATCCTGCACCCCCATGCCCTGCCCCGAACAGGACCTGGTGAATGGAGTGAGTGCTAGCTCAACTTTCCAGTCGCCAAGTCACAAACTCACAAGGTGGCCCAGTTCCTTCCTATGGGCCTCAAGTTCCCCGCTACTGAGCTGGACCAAGGGCCATGCTGGTGGCACATCACAGCTCATACCCGTTGGCACATGTACTGAATACTGCTGGGGATTACCTG